GGTGGGCTTTTGCGTCATGTACGACATCAATCGGTGTTTTAAGTTCCGAAGTATTTCTGGGTCAAACAGGCAGTCGAACAATGTTCGTTATAGAAACTGATTCGGGTATCAATATTCGTAATCATTCGTACTTCAGGAAAGAAGAGGAAGTACTCTTGCTACCTGCCACACAATTCAAAATTATAGACCGTCTTCCTCAAGGTAACGGACTGCATTTCATTCAACTTCAAGAAATGCATCCTCCTGTTGCTCTACTACAGCCAGTAACGATCGGTAGAAGCTATTCCAATGCACAAAATTCTATTTTAGTCAATATCTATTTCGTTTTAGAACGCACCTATTCAGATAATAGCAGGTACAGAGGTCATTTTAAAGGTGGCAAGAGGCACGGAACAGGCACCTACGAATATGCTAACGGAGAAAAATATCAGGGTGAATGGATTAATGATCAAACCAATGGAAAAGGAATTCGAACATTTCCGAGTGGAAATCGTTATGACGGAGAAGAAAAGAATGGGAAACGGCATGGTTATGGGGTGAATTATTGGGCTAATGGGGAAAAGTATGAAGGCTATTGGGCTAATGACAAAATGAATGGCAGTGGAAAATATTTTTGGCCGACGAACGTGCAGTATGAAGGAGAATACAGAAACGATAAGAAGCATGGACAAGGCACACTAAGATGCGCTAATGGACGTGTTATACAAGGCCTGTGGGACAACGATCAATTTAAAGGCTCAAGTTTCCACTACACTGAAAACAAAAAAGGCTTTTGGCGAAATCTTTTGGGTTTCGTCAAAATTTAATCTATTCCAAATGTTATCGCGCAATCGCACGAAATCTAGAAAAGGTTTAGTACCATTCAAGGTGTTTTATGAACCCTTTTTAACTTCTATACTCCAAGGATGATTTCGTTCCAAATCATTCTCATACTGTTAAAGTCTAGAATAGTTTCGTGCCTCACTCATTATCAATGAGGAAATGAGAAAAGGTTTCCCATAGAACCAACTATAAAATATCGCAGTCAAGAAAGTTTCGTAAAAGATACTTCTGAAAAAACGAAATGAAAAAGGTTTAGCATCGAGCTGCACATTTTTTTTGATTGAAAGAGGTTTCGTAGAATAAACCTGTGTAAATGCTTGAATACGAAAAGGCTTCGTATAAACTGCTTTGCATTTCTTTCAAGTTAAAAAGGTTTCGTATGGTACCATGACTGAAAAAAACAATTCAGTGTGATTTCGTATGACACTCTCAAAAGTGTCGTATAAACCTCAGACATTTTGTATATTCTAAAAGGGTTTCGTACAATGCCGCTGACATTTTCAGTATTTCAAAAAGGTTTCGTATAACACCCTTTACAGCATGTCCATTTAATGAGTGTTCCACGAAAAATCAATCGGTGTGAAGCTAGCACGAAGGAGCTAGCACGAACAAACGATATGTTAGGTAAAAACTTTTTACTAAGTATGTCCCGTCCATGAAAACTATACCATTCGACTCAGAATTTAATTCTGCATCGAATGGTGATACTTTTATTCGCAAGACAAACTTTGGAAAATTTTCTATCTGTATCTTTGTTCGTTTCCTTTATGTCTATTTATAATCCAGAGAGAATTTTCGCAAAGTTTGTCCGGCGAATAAAAGTATCACCATTCGATGCAGAATTAAATTCTGAGTTGAATGGTGTAGTTTTCATGGACGGGACATACTTAGTAAAAAAGTTTTTACCTAACATATCGTTTGTTCGTGCTAGCTTCACACCGATATTTCGAGTTCGTTGCAAAGTGCCGAATCCTTTTTTGGTTTCGTATAAAACCTTTTTTGTTTTCAGTGTAGTTTATTTACGAGAGGTAAAGTGTGTGTGTTCACAGAAGTAAATCAAAACCAATAAAATTGTTCTATGTTAATTAGCATCGATGCTTTTCACTGATTCTACCCAATCATAATGACCAGCTGCTAGCAAAAGCCAATTTTGTTTTGGATCTAGACCAATAAAATCTTGTGGAAACCCAAGTTTGAAATCATACGCTTTGTTGATTTCTTCGATTTCTTCTTTGCTTAAACGTACTTTCAATGCTTCAATGTTGTCTTGTAAATGTTCCACTTTTCGAATACCGATGATAGGAAAGATATACGGTTGTGTAGCCAAGACATAAGCAAGCGCAATTTGACTGAGTGAAACGTTTTTACTCTTGCCAATCTTGTTTAATACAACAGTCACTGCTTTATCTTCTTCGGAGGGTCCTGAATGTATGTAGAAACCCGTCGAAAAATATATATTGAAACCAATTTCACAATCTTACCCTTGAGTGGACCAATAGCTGATCTTCCTTTGTCGCCAGCCTTTTCCATGGTGTCGATTTGTTCTTGTGTTTTGAATTTACCACCACCCAATGCTCCCCACGGTGCAAAAGCCATTCCTTCATCGCGAAGCATTGGAAGAATTTCTCTTTCTACATCACGTTTAGCAGCATTATATAAGCCTTGATAAACAGAAAATTGACGGAGTCCATGATCTCGAGCATATTGGTTTGCTTTGGTGACAACCCATGCTGGTGTGTCACTGACGCCTAGATACAAAACTTTGCCGGCTTTCACCAAATGATCGAGCGATTGCATAAGTTCAGGAATCGAACATGTATAATCCCACCTGAAAATTAGTTTTGTTCGAATACATTGACAAAGGAGGGAGAAAGAAAATGCTCACCAGTGAATGTAGAGCAAATCGATATAATCAGTTTGAAGCTTCTTCAACGAAGCAGTAACACTCTCATGTAGACATTTTGTTGAATTACCAGCAAAATTGATATGAATTGGCTCTTTCTTCCAATCTGATCGGTATCCTGATGAGAACTTTGTTGCAATCACCATCTGACTTCGATTTTGTCGTTTAGCCATCCATTCTCCGATGATGATTTCACTTTGTTCATCTTGATAATTACTCGCCGTATCAATGAAATTTCCACCTGCTTCGAAATATGCATCGAGAATCTTGAACGAATTTTCTCTGGATTGTGTACCCAGGAACTCTTTCCAAGCTTCGCCAAGTGACATCGCTCCGAGACATAACGGAGATACACGAACAGCGGCAGTTGGTGACAAAATACGATATCGTCCCAAACCACTAGTCGGTTCTGGTGCTGGTTGCATGTTTTAAACTATGAGTATCTTTTAAAAAAAATACGAAGTATAGGGTTCTAGAGTGAAACGATGACGAGACAATCGAACAAAAACATACGAATACGACAAAAACAAGCAAAGAAAACCAGTATTTATACCTCGACGTATTGACATACGTCAATGTATCTCGAATGAAAGAGAGAGAGAAAACGTGCTTCTTGTACTTTAAAACACTTTAGTGCTGTTCTCTTTTTTCCTCGTTGAGTGATGACGGTGCAAAATCTCGCTGCAACGTGCTTATATTTCTGCGTCTTTATGAAAAAATACTCTTTCACAATTTCTTTTTTTCAGAAAAAGCTTCTCTTCTGTAGAATACAGACACTATTTGATAAGATTTTTTAAATTAATAAGAATATACGTACTGTTAAGGAAAAAAGAAAATAACAACGACCGACTAATCGGCGAAGAAGATATTTTCATTACGTACAAAAGAAAAAGAAATAGGTTTGTTTTACGTGCAAGAAGATTTTAAAATGAAACAAACATGCAAAACTTGAAAATAAAGTTCAGGAAGATAACTGAGAGATCGTTGCCTATGATCTAGAAGGAAGACAATATCCTAACAATCGCGTAGTTTATTTTTGTTCACCACGAGTCTAAACTGCCATCGAAAGTTGAAAATTATAGAAATGTGAACGTTGCGCATACGTTGAGTTCAGTAACTATTCGACATTTTCAAATCTCATATCAGATGGATGATTGTTCCTTCGATGTAGAGACAAAATGTTTCGATTAAAGAACTATGTGTGAAAAGTAGTGCAGTGTATCGAAGAATATTATTCGCGAAGATGAGACTCATTGTAACGATAAACTGGTTGAGTAGTTAACAGTTCCTCACCATATGATGTTTATTGGCCACTCTACATGACCAGAATGTGTCTAGTTCATAATAAAACACGCGCTCATATAGAGAAGAGGAAAGAGAGATAGATGAACCGGAGAAAGTATGATATAGAGATGAACGATATCATTATCGTTAGTCTACCCTTTCTGAATAAATGAGAACTGTGTACGATTATGCCTATTGCCGTAGTTGTCACGCTGTATGGAGTATTGAATTTTCAAAAAATGAGAGACTAGATTTTATGGATCGTGTCAATTTAAAAAAAGAAACCATATTGGCTAAAATGAGTATGATTGATTTCATGTAACATTTTCTAGTTGTTGACAGGAAAAAGAAAAATTTTCATCTAGAACAAGTCAATAGCATGCGCATGCATGCATGACTTTTTTCGAAAGCCCTTTAGAGCAGAACCAATAGCCTCTCTAAATTTCCAGCACGTCTTTTATATGTTAGGTTTAGCGAAGCCATACAAGAAACCTTTTCGTAAGAACAGATTAGCTCATGAAGAATAACTGATTCACCAGCATATTTCACTGGCACAGGTTTTTAAGAAAATTCCTCAACAATTTCTACTAATTCAATGTACTCGATTAAATGACAAATAAACGAAGCGGTAAAGAAAGTATTACCACAGACTGCTGCTTCTTAAGAAATTTACATCAATCTATATGAATAAGATCAATATTGCTTACGTGAAAATGATTCATTTCTCAAAATCATTACACACATCTATCTTTACTTTTTGTCTTATTCAAAGTTTACCACACTGTAATGAAAATGTATCCGTGCTAACGTAAGATAACTACTGATAAAAATAGTTTAGCGTGCGGCAATAGTTCAAAAGGTTATTTGCTACGATCGACAGCTCGACAATTCGAGTTTCACTCGTTGATCTGTACGTAAAAGTAAAATGTTGAATTGGCCGCATGACTTCAGTTCTTTTTCAAAACTTCTTTGTTTCACCCACTCATGTGATATTTGACGGCAAATGACGATGATTATTCGTGACAAACTGAAAAGCTTTCACTACTAAAAACACTGTGATTAACTGGCGCCAACTATATTTGATAAATGATGAGTCAGACTTTTCATGCGTCAAACGAGTCAACCAATGTGTAGAATGAAAGCGTGATGTTTAATCAAGAACACAAAAAATATTTCGTTCGTATTTTCGCCGATTTTAATGAATCATTGTGGACAAGTTTCTCATTTTCTCCATCAAAACACATCACAGGGATATTTTTTCTCCCACAATATCGTTTACTCACAATAACTTCGATAACAATTCAATCAAACAGTCTCATTCACTATGGACGACTTGCTCATGTACCTTAATCGACAAGAAAATATTCCAACGGGTAAGATTCTTTTACAAGTTCACTTTTTACGAACTTCAATATCTGTTTTCTGCATAGATATTCCTGCAACTGAACAGCTACTCAGTCCTTTGTTCACAGGCGTCATCGACTACAATTTTGATCTATTACAAAGCCCATCGTATCAATTAAATTTTTCTAGTGAGTCCAATCAATCCATTATTCAACTTAAATGCTTTTTTTTCGGTCCTATTTGTGTATTACAGGCAACTCACTTTCCGCTGCCGAACCATCTGAAAATGAACTCCTCAGTATTCAAGACAACTGTCCCAGTAACATTTCAATTAATTATCGCTTGTTTCTCCAACAGTACCTTTTGATTGTTCGCTACTAGACCTTGCAAACACGTCTGATATCATCACACAGCCCAGTTCAATTAACTTCTCGGAAACTACCGCTAAGCAAAGTACAACTTCTCCACAGAGTTTGAGCAACATTCAGATGTTTGTTCAACCCAAACAAAATCAACGACCCTGCTATGCATCAGATTTCAAGGACAAGCCTCCACGGTACATTCGTGGGGTGCATACAGAACTCAATCGAAAGACCTATGACTATCCAGCTGTCAGAGTAAGTTTACTCACTCATGTTTTTCCCTTGTATTTACTCACTTCAGCCATGCGCGTCTAGATTCCAGACAATTATCTCACTTCTAATCGGATCTTCTGGATTCGTGTTTCGCTAATGACGGTGGAGCTGGCAGACGGAAAGCGTTATATTCATCCGTATACTTTACAAACGCCAAATACTCCCGACTGGTTAGACGAACGAAAGAAACACACAAGTGTCTATTATCCGATCACGGAGACTTCCGTGGATTCGAATGGAGTGATGGTGTAAGTTTCAGCCTAGCCAGCTGATTTCTTTCTTTATGTAACTCTGACTGTGTGCCACCATTTGCAGATTTAATAAGCTTGTGGTAACTAAACGCAAACAAGAGCAGCTCGAAAAGTATGGAGATTTAATTTCACTTCAGACAGGTAACTTCGTCATATTCGAAAAGAAATGTGGAAAAATATCGTTCATATGCTTTTTATGCTACTTTGTTCTCAGATGAAGAATGTCCAAACACAGGGAAGCCAGATGCGAAGCAAATGATAGGTGATTATCAACTGAAAAAGTCACAGTTAGCCTTCAGTGTGTATGAAGACGTAGGCCAAAGTCAGTATCATTACATGGAAACAATATTCTCGGGCGTGATGCAAGAAGGGAAAGAAGGTGAGTAACTGTTTACATATACATCATCACACCTATTTTTTCTTTTCTTCGGGCTTGTAGTACGGTCAGAGGAAAGTCAAAAGACTCGAACAACTAGTGTTACGCGTGTATGTCATGATGAATTCCACAGTACAAATAAAATAAGCGATGTGAATGAGTGGGAATTTGTGGAAGGCATAGGTGAGAATAGTTGCGGCACTGGGCTGAAACAGTACTATACAGTGAATGTGGACAAAAATGCACGATTTGGTGAGAATGGTCATCTGATCATCGAAGCACGTAAAGAGAAGTGTAGAGGATGTGAATATACATCTGCTCGACTGAGAAGCAAACAATCATTTCGATACGGTCGCTTTGAGGTACACATTGTCACAGTTTTTCGGCACAGTCTGATTCTTCTCCTTGCTCTCAGATCCGTGCTAAGTTACCTTCTGCTAAAGGAACATGGTCTTCTTTTACTCTCGTAAGTATTACACGTACAAACTTACTACTCAAATACTATCCTACCTAACACACTTGCTTTTCAGTTTCCTGCTGTATACACCCATGACCGTGCAATGTGGCCAGATAATGGCGAAATCAGTCTCATGTCACATGTTGGACGTGATCCAACAACGATTCGATCATCGGTTTACACCAAATCAAACAATCCATCACAGAACAATACTCCTTCCAATACAGCTGAAGTACTTGATGCAACGATATACTTTAAAACTTACACACGTAAGAACTTATCTTCACTGACAAAAAAATCTTTCGAGATCTCTTTTTTTTTCTAGTAATTTGGTCTCCCGATGAGATCGAAATGTTTGTTCGATTGAACGATGAAGATAAGGATGATCGTCGCATTCTGATATGGGAAAAACAAGACAGAGACTGGCAGTTTTGGTAAGTGCTCAGACTTGGATAAGTGTTAATATTGTAGTGTAAAACATCTTTTCTTTCTTTCTTTCTTATTCTCAGGCCGTTCGATCAAGAATTTCATCTGGAAATTTTTCTCGCTGTTGGTGGAGATGTGTAAGTACACTAATTGATGGTCAAACGATCAGAATTCGGACTTTGTGCTTTTATTATAGAGCCGGCAATGAGATAGACGATCATCAATTCCCTGCGCGTCTCGAAATTGAATATGTTCGTTTCAAGCCGATGGGTGAGGGTGAAGAGTGATAAAGCAATTCTAGTGAATACAGAACACATTTTATGTAAATGTATCGACCGACAAGGAGACTTAATATGTTCTTCTTTTCTAACCAAGATACGTTCTACTCACGTTTTGAGATTTTAATTTTATATAATGTGTCTAAATATTGAATGAAGTTAGAATCTTGAGTGTACACTTCGATGAAGCTTCGGTTGCATATTGTCATTTATGAAATATTAAAAACCGAATTATATTTCATGTCACGATTTAAAAACAAAGTGGCTCGCAAACACAGTAGATTTTAAGAGAACGCTCTCGTTCGAATGAACCAGAAATCGACCATGTTTTAACATATTCATAGTGACTTGCTTTTCTGAATTACCTTCATACTCGTATTCTCAAGTAAGATTACGAAATAAATGTACGAAGAATGAAACGATTAGAGTCAAGCAATGAAGATGCGATCCTTTTCAAAAAAATTCGTTCGTGCAATTCAGTCAATATGAGCATCAGACGAATAAAAACAAGAACGCGTGTAGATATAACATTTAGACAAGTTTACGGGTTCATTGGAAAGAAAATAAGCAAAACAAATGCGTTGGGCGCGGGAATACTATTTGTTGAATTTTTTCCATAAAACTATTTTAAATAAGGTCTATCTTCTACAGCTACTGTTTACACATGTATCACGCGAGGACTTATGTATGTATTTATCTGCCGAAGTAATCATTATTTCCAGGGATATGCAGATGCTCTATTGTCTACGCAAAATGATAAAAGCTAACAGAAGTAACACTAAATTATGGTCATGAATACTCATATTGTGCGCTTGTCCAAATGGGACTGATGTATGTTTATACCTCAAACGCTCGTCATTAAGCTAATCACCGACAGTATCAGTTTGCTTTGTTACATTGTAAAGCATCAAGAAGATGTTTTGCACCTTGATTATCGATCTGATGGCAATCCAAGGTGAGTTTCAAGAGTATCTTTATGAAAATACATCGATATAATTCTATTCACAACTGGATTTGAACGAGCGTGGTAAGGATTCGAAAGATTCTTTTCTTAGGATCGATATGTTAACGGTTCAAATTTTATTTGGTGATTTGCCATTAGAACCTAATCCTTTTCGTTTTTACGAAGCTCTTTGTCTGACCAACTAATTACAGGCGATCAGTGTGCAGCATGTGAATTGATAATGTGATGTTTCAATCATGTTACAAAACATTTATTCTTTTGCGCGAAGAAATAGGCAACAAGTTTCGCTTTTCTCCACTATAGAATGAGTAATTATGGAGGTTTTTCATTTTCTCCACTAAAACACGTCATCATCATTTTTGCGCACCTATATTGTCTATTTATAACTGCGATGGTATTTCGAATAAACGATTTAATTCACTAATTCGCATTGTCTTCGTTCACTATCAACAGTTCGGTGATGGAATGTGATCCACATGGCCATGATCTAATGGGTAGGATTCTTTTACAGCTATGTTCTGCCACTGCTTTGTCCATAGATATTTCTGGGTGCATGAAACAAACTAATTCAGAGTCTGTTCTAAGTAAAAACATCTGTATTGTAAACAGTCCGACTTTTAGTATCAAACCATCTGAGAATCATGCTTTCAGTAATCGAGATAACTGTCTCAGTAATATTTGAATTAGCTGTCGCTTCTCTCTCCAAGAACACGTCTGCACTCTTTTCACTTAGAATTGGAAAACATACTGAATATTATGGAGCATTCGAGTTCAATTAACTCCTCGGAAAACACCGTTAAGCAAAGTACAACTTCTCCACAGAGTTTGAGCAACATTGAGATATTTGTTCAACCCAAACAAAATCAACGACGTTTTTCTTTCTCGTTCTATGCAGGAAAGAAGACAGATACTTGTATAGATCACAAGGCTGTTATTTATTTCTTTATTCTTTTCTGTCGAAAACAAAACCGCCGAAAAATAAACATCTCGAGCGGGAATCGAACCCAACAACCAGAGACTGACTTTCCGGGCCAGCACTCAGACCACTGAGCTATCGAGACGCACTCTTTTTCGATATCCATTCTTCGACGGNAGTGACAGTGGAGCTAGCAGACGGAAATCGTTATATTCATCCATATACTTTGCAAACGCCAAATACTCCCGACTGGTTAGATGAACGAAAGAAACACACAAGTGTGTATTATCCAATCACGGAGACTTCTGTGGATTCGAATGGAGTGATGGTGTAAGTTTCAGTCTAGCCAACTGATTTCTTTCTTTATGTAACTCTGACTGTGTGCAACCATTTGCAGATTTAATAAACTTGTGCTGGTCAAACGCAAACAAGGGCAACTAGAAAAGTATGGAGATTTAATTTCACTTCAGACAGGTAATTCTGTCATATTTGAAAAGAAATGTGGAAAAATATATCGTTCCTATGCCTTTTTTCCTACTTTCTTCTCAGATGAAGAATGTCCAAATACAGCGAAGCTAGATCCCAAGCAAATGATAGTTGATTATCAACTGAAAAGGTCACAGTTAGCCTTCAGTGTGTACGAAGATGTGGGTCAAAGTCAGTATGAGCACATTGAAACAATATTCTCCGACGTTATGCAAGAAGGCAAAGAAGGTGAACAACTATTGACAAATAAATCATCACACCTGTTTCTCCGGATACATAGAACGAGCAGAAGAATGTCAAAACACTCGAACAAGTAGTACTGCATCTGTGTTGTGTGCTGACTTTAGTAAGAGCAGTGTAATGGATCTGAACGAATGGGAATTTGTGGAAGGTACTGGGGAGAATGGTTGGGGCACTCATCAAAAGCAGTACTATACAGTAAATGCCGCCGAAAATGCACGGTGTGAGAATGGTCATCTGATCATCGAAGCACATAAAGAGGAGTACAGAGGATGTGAATATACATCTGCTCGATTGAGAAGCAAACAGTTATTTCGATACGGCCGACTTCAAGTAAGAACTACTAGTTTTTTGGCAAACATTTTACATTTTTTTGTTTTCGTAAAGATCCGTGCCAAGTTACCTTCTGCTAAAGGAACATGGTCGTCTTTTGTTCTCGTGAGTAGTCTGAGCTCGTCGATCACAAATTCTTTTGTTTACTGACGAAATGCATATCTTTTCAGATTCCGACCGCAATGGCCAACGACGAAAGCACAAGCTCAGAAAAGGGAGAAATCAATATTATGTCACACTTTGGGCACAGTTCATCGGTGATTGAATCATCAATTTGTACGAAATCAAGTAGTCCACTGCGAAATAGTACTCTCGTCAACACTGCTGAAGTTCTTGATGCAACTACCTGTTTTAAAACTTATACCCGTAAGTAACTATCGTCTTTAAACTATCTAGCTGATAAGAGAACGTTTTAAATTGATTTTTATTCAGTTTTTCGCTCACACGATCAAATTCAAATGTTCGTTGGTTCAGATGAACCGAATACGCTCCATCAACAGATTCTTCTCTGGGAAAAACGCACTAAAGATTGGACATCTCGGTAAACCATACCATGCACTAGGATTTGGTTAAACATAATTTCTTCTTTCAGTTCGTTTGAAAATAAATCATTTCATCTGGAAATCTATTTGGCTATTGGTGGAGATCTGTAAGTACTATATTAACTGTCTGGCTTTGCTCTTACATTTACGCGATCTCTCTCTCTAGAGAAGATTATCCTTCAAACGCTTTCTTTTTGCTGTTGTAGAGCTGGCAATCAGATTGATGAAGATAGGTTTCCTCAGCGAATCGAAATCGATTACGTCCGTTTTGATGAAATGAGTTAAATAAATACCAATACAACTGGGTTTACGATAGACTGATTGATTATGAACTTTTGATGGGAACTTATTTCTCGGCTCTAAAAACTTCCGTTCTTTCCCATTTGAATAGTGTCTCTGTATAACTCATCGAATAAACTGAAGTCTTGACTTTCCTTTTCTTTCCCTCCTTTGGTTTCTGTCTTAACAGAGCAGAGAAAGTGAACTTTCCCACTCAAAAAGACACGTGATATCTTCGACAGGTAAAAGGCAGAATGAATATGAGTGGAGTTTCCTGCACTCGATAGCGGCTTACTATTTCTTTTGTGACGCATTCTGAACTATTACAAAAGAGTACATTTTTCCAATTCGACCACCACTCGGAAGAAGTTATGCTTTTCGTTTTACTTTGCGAACTCTGATTTCATATCGAACTACGAAATATTTGGAAGAATGAATGAACGTCATGTGCAAAGTCATGAGCACAATCCAGTCAAGATCAATACAACAGAAGTGGCATAATCTCCAACAATGGTATTGCAGCTCAACTTGGTCAACACGAAAGCGAAAAATGGCAGTTCAGCAAAAATTGAAAGTTTTTTTATTAACAAAAATGCATGATTTTCAGCTACTGCGTGGGCGTACATGTTGAGACAGATGTATTGATCAAAATACTACTTTCGTCGACATATAAATGTTCGAGTGTCTACATGGAACGTGAAAGAAATAGTAATCAATCATGGTTGTGGCATACCTTATTACTTGCAAGAGCGTCGGTGAGGCATTGTGACGCTTGAACATCAATTTCATTGTATGCAAGTCCAAGTGTGATCAATGTCTGTGTATAACCATGAAAATTATCATGAAACTGATGATTGAAGGTATCGGCTTACCTGATTAGTTTTTAAAACATCGCAAAGGTGTTGTATACCTTGTTTTCCGATGCCATTGGAGCGAAGATCAAGTGTTGTGAGTGTCTAAACAGTCAACAATTACAGAGGAAAACCATCAGTGGACAATGGCTACTCACTCCATTGTTGCGTAAAGCATCAGTGAGATGTTGTACACCGTGATCTCCAATGGAATTGTTTCCAAGGTAAAGTTCTTTTAGTTCCTGAGAACAGAAATCGACCGATTAGCAAAGAGACGGTAGGCTAAAATCAGATTTACTGTATTGTGACGCAAAAGGTCGGCTAGATATTGTGCGCCTTCGTCGTCAATCTGGTTTTCCCAAAGGAAAAGTATTTTCAGTGCCTAGAGAATACAGAAAATGCAAGTAATACTGACAAAAATGGATAAAAAACACAATTTTACTCGATTATTTCGCAAAGCATTTACAAGATTCTTTACACCCTGATTACCGATCTGATGACCACCTAGATTGAGTTCCACGAGTCTCTATATAATAATGCATGTACAGAAATGACTAAAATCCCGAATAAATTCAGTTTACCACGTTTTTGTGTAAAGCATTGATCAAGTAGTCTCTCTTCAAGCTACTGATTTGATTTGCATGAAGATCGAGGATGATGGGTGTCTATGAGGTGAAAATGATGAATAAAAAAGTTCGACACAATTATGTATATACTTGTTCTGATAATGACTTAATCGTCTTGTGGAGTGGTCGTTTAGTCAAACGAAAAGTATCGCCGCTCATCGTTGATGTTTCCAGTCGGACTACATCTCGAACGCAAACAAAACGAAGCGGCATCGTATACAACCATATATCATTTTCATGCAAGGCATAAGCGGCAGCAACAAGCCATCGTTCGTTGTCAAGCCAGAATGGTGTACGAAAGGAAGCAAGCAAAGCTTCGACGTCGATCGAGTTGTCCTCATCATCATACGTATGGAAGAAAATAAATTCAAATTTGTCCAGTTGCGGTAAGATGGCAGGTATAAGGTTCTCCCAATGAGTGGCATTAAAAAAGAGATCGAACATTTGACGATGAGAAGCAAGCTGGAGGCGTCGAACTGAAGGTGTCAACGAAAGTAGCATTTGCAAATAAGGCATTGAGAGTAAACAGTGAGTTACAGTTAATGACTCGAGTTTTGCAGTAACTGAGTTCCTGTTGATGGATGATGGTGCTGATATATCAGCATCACTGACGATGCATTGTCGCGTGGAAAATGTTCGCAAGTGAGGCAACTGTAGGAGAAGGGTGACATATTCTCTATAGGTACATTCATTGATCGTCAAATGCTCTAATATCCATTGATCGGGCCATAAAATATGCTCTGTCAGATTGTGTACATGATTAATACATAACTGTCGAAGATGGTATTGACGGAATGTCGATAAAACAGAAGGCCATGTTCTCTGACGTGCCAATTCACTCCACTGAATTGAAAGCAAAGCTAGACTGTCGACATTCAGAATATGCTCAGCCCAATGTGCCACTTCTTCGCCGGGAACTCCGTGAAAAGTCATCGAGCGAAGCCGAGTGAAGTGAAGATTGTGAAAAAGTGAGTAAAATGGATACTGCTCTTCATTTGTTGACTGGTCAGTATTATTCACATCAACAATAGTCAATGAAACGACATTCTCAGGTGAAATTTTTTGAAAAATCGACTCTATAGCAAGTGGCGAAGATGTGGACTTGAAGATGAATTTGAAACGATTGTATGTGTTAACCAAATCATACATTTGTTTGCAGACACGGCGCAGTGAAAGGACTGTTTTCGCATCAAAATAATCCAGAATGTTATGAACTAATTCAACAGGTAGAATAAGAAGGGATGCGTTGACCATTGATGTGGCAGTAGTAGTTGATTGTAATTTTATCGGATCCTAAATGGTTAAAGTGTACATCTAGTCAGTATGTGTACTACGTATACGAGGGTGTCATATCTATATTCAGTACTTTCACTATGGCGGATATGCAGATTATTAGATCGGATTAGTAGTCTTACTTCTATTCTTGTATCATCAAGCTTTTGTCTTTTTCTTCGTTCCATTACATCTTCACTCGCTGGTAGTTCTTCTTTGTATCCGTCATCCATATTAGTACTCGATGGAAGTATATAATCAAAGGTAAAAATTGTGGCTGCATTTCGCAAAATTCCACGCGTCTCTGATAATAAAATAGACATTAGCGCGGACAAGATGAACGAATTTTTTTGACATACCTGTCATCACAGTTGAAAACACAGTGGTATCCCACTGGACAACAAAGGATTCATCGTTCGCTCTCGTGCACAATGTGAACGCCAATTGAGACTTATTAAGGTGAAATTCACGAACGAGCTGCCTGGGTGACATTTGTTGATGATTGACGACACTAGATCTATGTAATAGATCCATAGCTGGTTGAAAAAGAGGTATCGGTTGGTTACGTGCTAATTCGCTCAACGTAGGCTTGTACAGAGATAGATATAACCTAAATTTGATGTGAAAGAAAGTTTTGGTGTTGTGCACGAGCAACAGTATATCCGACCTCACGATTCCATTCATATCGGCGTTGACATCGTACATAATATAAACGCCTTGGTGACGTGGAGACGACACATCTCGGCTGATTAGATAATATGGCATAGTGTGTCGCTGTCCCATTTTATTCGGAATTGTGAGCCAATCGACTCGAACTTTTCCCTGGAAATTCGGTGTCGTCTAAAAACAAGTTATAAGAGAAAGGACCTCGTCAAAATCTACCGACAATATAGAAACAGTTACTGACAGACAATCATCAAATATATTCAGACACATTCTGCTGAGGAATGTAACTAGCGCGTGTCAGTATAGGCGAAAATCAATAACTAACTCCGACTTTCACCGATTTAACTTACTTTCAACGTTACGTACGGATTCCTTAGACGATCACACAGCAGACTTGTACATGTAACTCCTCCGGTTAGCGGCATACACTCGGATAGATAGCGTGACCGATATGTTTTTTGAAGGGGATGAACAACTTGGAGTTCATGTCTTTGAGGCAGGCGTGATACGTTGTCGGCAGTGGAAGCATTATGTTCACGATGTTGGTCTTGGATTGTCGATTGCATTTTGAAATCGATCGATTGTTAGCTAAATATACAAAAATCACTTGACATTTGAAGGCAAATGCAACGACTGGCTAAAATACATTTATCCTTTCAATTTGAGCTCCTCTCAAGAATGTGCATAACGGTATGTGCTTATATTAATATAAAAATCAATGTCGACACTTCAACCTGGGATTTATGGGAATAAAAGTAAGATAACAACCAACACGTGCTCGAAACAGGGTAAATAAAAATGAGAAGAAATAGATGCAAGAATAGAAAAAAAACGACAGACGGAATCCCAGATGTGAGTCAGTAGACAAGCTATTGGAAACATGGTGTATTATGTATTACTCATTCTGAGAAGAAATAAATTAATTCGAATAATCTACGAAATAAACATTGGTCATAGCATATGAACAAAGAAGGAGTGCATGTCTATGTAAATGATGACGAAAATAAAAGAAACTACAGTTACTCTTGTATACTCGCTCGAAAGTAAAAGAAACTTAACGTTTTACGATCGGCTACGTAATTTCCAAGTTGCAAATTGCAACTAATCTTGAAGACAAAAAAAAAAGAGAACGACACTGGTTTATTTCTCACCACTCAGTAACAAAATGACGAAAGAACACCAATGCATTTATAAAAAAAGATCTATCATAGCCTAAATTTTTGTAGTATCAAAAATATTCCCAGTAATGATAAAATGTCAGAATACAAAACTAAAAGAAAACAAACGTGTGAGAATCGCTCTCTTCGAGATGTTCGAATGAAGACAAAAATACGATTACCAAACGGAAGAGAACAGAAAGAGAATGACGTGTAAACACCATTCGATATGAAATTATTCATATAGTGCATAGACTTTTCACGTGCTTCACATAAAATGCTATATCATGACAAAGTAAACCTCGAAAGCAAATTTAGGTGTGTACAACATCCACTAAAGTATTCACCGCAGCTCCAACTTTCCACAAAGTTATTGCGGTGAAAAGAGCATTTCATGTAGTAATTACACCATACTTGTGTCATTACGCCATATAGTAGACATCTCATACTTTGCGAAGGAAGAGAAAGCCATGATGCTTCGATTACATCGCTTTGTAAATCAATGGAAGATTATTTTGCTTATAACGAAAACGTTGCGGGTTCGATCCCCGCCGAAGCACCACACCAAATCGAACGTGCAATCTTTCTCTCTATTTTTGATGTATTTTTCAATGATGAGATTGTGTAATTTGTTTAACATACATTCACCGTTTTGTTTCTGCGTGTGTTGATTCAGTATATATGAAATTCGAGAACAATTGATTTTCGCCTTGTGCACATTATAAAATTGGAAGTATACAGAGAAGATTAGCATGGCCCCTGCGCAAGGATGACATGTAAAATCGTGAAGCGTTCCAATTTTTTTTGTCTCCAGAAATGCTGCTACTAATCTGTATGTCTTAAGTGGCATGATCCTCAAAAGCTAAATTTACTTTTTAAACGAATAAATCTATTGAATTGATATAAGGTTAATTGTAACAATATTTTGTATTTTTGTTCATTATTGTATGCATATTCATGATTATCGAACAGGTTTGTAATTATGAAATCGTAGTCTCTGCAAGAATCTTTCATTATAATCAAACATATACTAGTTCGAATAAATCGTCTATCAGAGGAATGTTTATGCATGTTTTCTAATGCTTGGCATACTTTTTCATTTATTTGAGCTTCTTCAAAACATAAAAGATAATTTCCGTAAATTAATAAAGCAGCATCAACAATATTTTCTTCAAATGTAATCCATGAACAAAGAATTTCTTCCAGAAAATCTTGTACTCTATTAAAAAGAACTATTTTCTGTCTGTCCATACCATTATAGAAAAATGCTGAATAAAGACTATTGAGGATTACTTTTTGTATTTGAGGGATTTGTTGATTACGAAACACATCGACTAGAATATAATCGTACAAATTTTCTGGATAATTCTGTTCTATACGATAACTCGCGGATATCTCAGTAAGACGTTTGATAACGACGATGGTATATGCTTGTTTAGTAGTGTTTGTGCCAATCATTTGTTGTTGAAGATGTTCTATAAGATGATCTTGCAAATCTTTTGAAATACTCCCAATTATCAATAAAAACGATCTACTAGATTTTGATGTCTTCGATGTGATTCGTTCGAATTCCAAATCTAATATAATTTTCAAGAGATCTTGCCGATTAACGGTCATACTTATCATTGATAGAAAAAAATTATTTGTCCTTAAATCGAATAGAACTTTACCAAAATGGTGTGAATTGATCAATAATGAACAGAGTGAATTTTCTTGAAAACTTCTCGTTTTCAAAAAATTTCGTTTTGCAGCAAGCATTTCACCAATTATATTGATTAAACTAGGTTCTGTTGAATCATGAATAACTAGTTGTAATGCTGCATAATGAGTAGAAAATTTTAGGTTTTTATTCTTTCGATACTGAAGCCATCTTGCAATGATTGTCAAAGCTTTTCTTTCGACTTTAAGACATTGCGATACATCGTCAATAATTTGTTGTATTCTCTGTATGTCATAATTTTTTCAGTTTTTTGATGATTCCATCCATAATTGTGTTAAATCTAAAGTATTATTCTGATTAATATTAGTATACATTCTTAAAATTTGACAATCAAAAGCTAATTCAATGAAATGTAGTTGAATTAAAACGACGAAGATTAGATAAATCTTTTGTTCTTTTTTTCGAATTTGAATAGATTATGTGAAAGATAAGGATCATTTAATTGTTTCCATGCAATATATGATGCTTCTTGTTCGAGACATCGTTTACGACCGCTCCAAGTTACAGTTAACTTTCCAGCAATAATGCGGCTCGTTTGCTGTAATGATTCCGGAAAGAATTGATGTATTTTATAAGATTGAACGAATAGAAAAGTTAATAATATGAGTGAACAACCTATCACGAAATTATTTGATAAAGGAATCATTTCGTTTTGTATTAAGTTATTTCTCTATTCTTCGTCGACAATTAATGGATCTTTCATATTTAATATAATGGTCAAAGCGATAATTCGTAAACTTGAATCTGAAATTTTTTTATTGAAATGACTTTTTGATTTTTATCAGCATTGAGAGTGATTGGATCGTATAATTTATCTTTACGAGCACGGTGTTGAGTTTGAAAGATTCGTGCAAGAGAAATCGATGCAGCGAAAAAATCAACATCTGTTCGAGATTCTTTAATACGTTCACGTTCAACTGTAATCAATTTTTCGTAATCCTTCGTTTCCTTCTTTAAAAAATATTTGAACAACTTTTTTTTCTTCATCTCATAATAAAATTGCCTTTGTTCTCCAGTTAAGTGATCCATATTACCAAAGTTTTCATGAAACAGAATCAATGCATAATTTGCATAACATTAGAAAAGCAAGAAAATGATAATAATTCTCCATAGTAACATCTTCTAAATGTATTAAACATTGTGATAAGAATACAACTAATGGTAATTCTATGTGAGAAAAGAGTTTTTTGCATAGATTGTGGTAGAAAACCGAGTAGATTTTCGTTGAAAATTCTTTTCTCATGAGTTTTATATAAAATTTCTTTCGAAGGAAGATGAATCAAATTCGGTTGTAATCGAATATCAAATTTTTCGTCTCGCTCTGTATAATTGTATAACCGAATTTTTTTCCATGCTGATGCACATGCAATAGCAAATGATTGACAATTGTCGGAATGAGATGAGAAATTCTTCATGACTGATTTTGTTTGAGAACATATTGATGTCAAAGTCGATTCGAAAGAATGATGGGTTTTACTGAAAATAATAGATTGCTTGAAATAAAATCATGTTTGTTTAAATTTATCAAGTGCGAGAGATAATGTTTTATAATGAGCATATTTTTCATAGATCAATGGTTGAGATACACCTTGCAGACAAATTAATGCAATGAAAATCTCAACAATATCAAGAGAGATTTCTGTTGGCAAAGAATCATCTAGTTCCTTTTGCAGTTCTTGAATAAGACTTTCAATTTTAACTGAATCTGATTGATCCGTAGTAGAATAATAATGAGCACAAATCAAATTTAAGACCGAAGATTTTACTCGAATATTTGTTATAAAACGTTCAAAATCCATTGATTGTTTTCGAAGAGAATATTGTATGTCTCCAAATAATCTACTTATGATTGAAATGATTAACGGATGAGTATGTGATAAAGCTGTAGTGGGATGAACTGATATTCTCACCGAAAGATAATCCAAATGGTATTTGAAATGTTCGTCGTAAGATTTGATGAATAAAAAACTCTTTCGATGAATTTGGATCATAGAATGATTTCAGCTTTTCATAGATTACTTTTAGTCTATATCTATTGAGATATGTATCACCTTCAATAAGACATAATTTCAAAATTTTTTCCAATAAATTTTCATCTGTACTACAGGATTCAATCCAGTTTTCAATAGAATTTTCTATACAATTTCGATAAACTTGAAATAAAGTATTTTTTTGAGAAAGAGTAACATGAATGATGAAATCATTCGTTATAAGTGCTTGAAAAAGAAATTCTTGTGTAGATCACGAATCGACGAATAAAAGTACTCCAAATGAAATCGAATAGTTATTTATAGTTGTCGTGAATAAACATTTACAAAATTGATCATATTTTTCTTGTGATAATTTCAAACTAATCAAACCCATAGCTAAGAGAAGTGATTCACGAAAACGCGGATAAATAGCATATGAAAGTGTACGGTGAACAATATAGTTTCAATAGGAAAATGTTCAATATCTGCAAAAACCATTGCGACAAAATATTCTTGATATGATAAATGCAGAAAACTGTAGACATTTAAAGCATTTTCACTTGCAAATCCAATGGATGATACTTTCAGTATGCTTCCATAATTCATTATGATCTGATCTCGATACATTGTGTTCTTTGAGAACTAAAGAACCTAATCGTTCGATGTTAAAACCATCGATAAGACCACTGGACGATTGTACGTAATAATGATGTATTTGAACGTAAAAAGTTGAATTTTTCTCATCTTAAATATTAGTAATACTGTTCATTTAGATACTAAATGTTTTGCATCTTCATGATCTATCAATGGCAATAAACTATGTTGAATAAATGGACCCATAATTGAATTAAATCGATATTTAGTAGATCGACTTGTAATAATAATTTGATTACCAAGAGATTTTGTCGGTAGTTGTGTTTCATTAATTGTATCGAAGAACTTCTCATCAAATGCTGAAATGAAATCTAATGACAGTCTACATATTCTTTAATAAAATTTTCAATACAACGAATAATAATTGTAAGTATCTGATATTTCATCGAGAAGAATCAAAGTATAACCTTGAGAAATCAATTTTTTCAATATGATTTGTCGATTTTTTTCATCAGAACAATAACGTTTTGAAAAACCAAGTATGTTCACCAATATAATCTATTAAAGTTTTTGTTTGATCTTGTTCGAACCATGTAAAGAATTCTCCAATTCGAATCAAGATTGGAATACGAACTGATATTGTCTTCAAATCTTACCGTTTGAGAAGCATTTTTAGCTGTTTGAGCAAATCTATATGTAATCTAACGAAGAATAGTTGTTTTTGAATTACCTGGATCACTAAGAATAACAATCCATCGATATTTTTTTTAATAGATCTACGAAACGCATACGAGAATATTTTACAAGTTTGATGGATCTTTTAATAGTGAGTAATTATTAATATCTTCGACAATGTTTCGAAACTAATACAATTGAATTTCTTGTGTAAACGTATCTCAGTTTTCATACCAAGAAAATTTTCAGAAAATTTTGTCATATCGTCAAACAGTTTTTCTACTTGTAATTTGGAATGAAATGAAATACAATTTTCTAAATAAATTTCGAAGAATTGTTTATGTTCATTGAGAAATTGTTGTAAATTCTTTTGTTTTTGGAAATTTTCAGTTCACGTTGCTTTATTTCTTTTTCGATTGCCATTCGTTTGTGAAAACTTCCTCTAAAAGCAGTTTTTTTCTGGATTATTCTTGTTTCCAAGCATGTACAAAACATCTTTCTGTAGTTCAGTCCAAAAATCAAATGAAAATGACTTATTATTGAAAAGTCGATTCAACTGTCGGGAAAATAATTCAATCCAATTATCTTTTGTTGGATCGTATAATTCAGACAACGTTGTAAAAGTAGAACGAATATCTTTTAATACGTTTTTCTCGAAATCTGAAACACCTTGTTTGATTGATTGCCATCATTGCGCGTTCGATAGGATTTTCCATGCTTATTTTATTACTAACAACGATAAATCATATAACCATTGAAAAAACAAGTAATGAAAAGATATAAAAACAGAATATGATTCGCTGCTTGTTATAATGAAATATGATCTACGGTGAAACTGATAAGTGAATAGAAATAGATGATGTTTTTACTTAAATATTTTGATTTTTTTTATTAAGTACTAATAAAGTATTATTAACGATACTAAATTTTGATTCTCATTTTGAAGATTGACTTTGATGAGGTATATACTTATTCTATAAACATCTCTTTTGAGGCTTTTAATTAATATACCTTAACAACTTCCTTCCTATCCATGTTTCTGTATAAAAATCAGTCATATAAACATTTGATGGATATACAAAAATAAGCCAGGTGATAACAGGAGGAATGTCTGGTAATGCTTGTACGATGATTTTAAAAACATATTCTACTGTAGATATTCCACAGTGAAAATAAGCTTGCGTACGACCTTTGAATGGAAACCATATTGGATATGGTATAACACAAAGACCATATACAATTGGTGGTATAAATATGAATAGATGTCTTTGTATTAGTATGAAAAATATTTTCGTTCTTGGTATTGATTGATTATTGATATGATATACACGCAAAGCAAAATTAATTAAAACAATTAAAATTGCAACAAAATACGTAACACCAGCAAGAACAGCGACAGTATAAAAGAAACCTGATGTTATACGTTTACTTAGTGTTCTATACTTTGTATTCCATTTACATTGATTAATAATCATTGGTATACCAGTTGAAATTGTCATACAAAAACCAAGTATTGATATAATAATTGAACGTCTTTGTGTTCCATATAATCTACAATCAAAGTAGACGATCAAAGCATGTTCAAGTGCAACGAAAGCGCTTAACCAAAGACCGGAAAACAATATTATTTGATGACTAATTTTATCCAAAGAACAATTAAATGTTTCAGATAATTCATCATTGTTTATAAACAAATATGGTTTGAAACATTGAATAACTTGACCAATTACACTTAGTACATTTCCAATAATAGCTATAATTGAATAGAGTGTGAGATAGACACCAATATTAGTACGACGTAAGCATCTACTTCTTTGAAATACTTGAAGACTTAATACATTATTTATAACTGATACGAAGAATTCAACGGAATATATAATCAAATAAATACACATCGTATTAAATTCTGTTTGTACTTTATATGGAATCAGTTCTTCACAGTACACACCTTGATAACAAGAACTACATTGACAATAACTTATATTGAGAGTTGTATTTCTTATGAATTGACCATTGTTTAAACATGAATGTGACATGTGGTGATGATAGAATTCTGTAAACTAAGAAAAATTCAAAATAAAATGTACAAGTCAGGTATTCGTAAGAGATTATTCAGATGGATAAAAAGAAATACTCATTCGATATAATTACAAGCACCACCTGGTGATTTTATGTCGTAACGATTACCTTTCAAAGCAGAAATAAGTTTCATTTATGTGAGAAAAAAATAGACTATTAAAGTTATTTTCATTTTAAAACTCGTACAACATTTCTACTTGTTTTTCTCCTCTGTCTTTCTCGATGTAATTTTTGTTTCTTTTCATCAACATCTTGAAAATCGTCCGATGTGAGTTAGAAGTAAATAGAAAGTGACGCTGGCTAAAAGCAGATTCGTAACAATAAGACGAAGTAAAAGTTAGCGATGCTACGAGAACAAACAAAGGAATTTAAAATTACAATTTCATCTGCAGTAGATTATTTTTTCTTGTTATATTCTCGATGATGTTTTGCTCATCATTAACACTTTTACTTAACCAAACATATGATATCTTCGATTTTTCTATTGTAGAAATGAAAGAATTATAATGGGTTCGTCTTCCTCGAATTTAGCGGATCAAAAGGAGTTATTATACTCTATAGCAGATCAGAGATGTTACATTAACTATTCTCCAAAGAAAACTGTTTATGAATGGCATTTGTTAGTTGATGAAAGTTCTTATGCATTGGAAAAAGCTAAAAGACTTCGTTCACAATATGAGTTATTGTATAAACCAAGACATCGATTAGTAAGTTACGTCTACATCTTCTTTTTAATCAAAGTAAACTTTTTCTCAAATGATTCGTTTTCTATCCTAACAGCTATTATTCTATTTTATAATATGTTCATCAAACTATTTTGTTCTTCTTTTTTTATTAAGATTGAATTCCTTCGACAGTCAAATACGATAATAAAAGATTCAGTTGATGCATTTCTAAAAGGTTATCTCAACGAGTTTGTTGATGAAACAGTTGGTGATGACTTGAGAATTGCTAGTGAAAACAATGAACCAGCATCTGTGCTTCGAGCTTATTCTCGTTCACAATCATTCACCAAAAAAATCCACAGTGATATGGCGAAAAATACGTATCATCAATTTACACTTTATTGCACACCACTTAATTGTAATATTTTAGCACGGACACATGACAGTATTCAGGCTTTTATTACTATTTTATTTCATCCAAAATTAGATTGTTACCTATGTAAAAAAGATATCATTGTGTATCGAGGAGCTGTTGTTGATGATGAACGTGTGTTGGAAGGATATGAAAAAAATTCCATAATTATATCAACGACATTTCTATCGACTTCGACTGATCCGCATGTTGCTGGTATGTTTGGTGGGTGCGATACCGACGCTTCAATATCGAATAATATATTGCTTTTGTGCACATACAAACTTCATAATAATGGAAGAACATCTCTAAGAATGGAAAGCGAATCAAATTTTGAAGATGAAAAGGAAATATTAATCTTTCCGTATATTCCATTTCAAATTATTTCCATTAAAAGAACTCAAATCGGACCGAGCAATAGGCAAAAAGTCGAAGTGGAGTTTGAAGAGATCAGTGTTGATAAAATTGATCATCAAAAATAATCAATATGGAAAACATTCACGAATATAATTACAATAATAAAAATTTAAGTTATTTGATGTAGTTCAAACATTGCTCTATAAATAGCATATGCTGCATAACATAGATTTTTTTAACTGCTCAATATTGCTTGTCAAAACTGAATATCTCAAAAATTTGCGTGAAAAATGCTTTCATCTCTTAACGATATTGTATCGGAAAGCATAAACACAAACAATTCAAATATAACATTCTTTGTACATTTACAAATGCTTGAATTTCACTCAACACATCAATTTTTCTTCGAAATTGATTAGAAATTATTCGAGTTTTTGCATGAATATATAACCAAAACTAGTTAAATTAACCATCAGTCGTTATTCATAGACAAGAAACTAAACCTATGAACATTTGAATTACAGACAAGATGGATAAAAATTCTATCTGCAATGAAAAAATTGTTTAAAAATAATTTCAAAACCATAACTCTTGATAAATGATGTAAAGTCATACAAATGACACTTATTTTATTCATATTCATCCTTCCGAAAAAAAAATGATGATAATAATAAAGAAAAACATTTGATTTTATTCGTTCGTTTTATTTTCAAATGAATTTATTTAGCTTTAGCCCATTGTCGTGATTTTTCAAATAACATAAGCACAAGTTTCTTCTTTTTCAGTGCATACATTTGTATATCAGTTTCAGTTTGTGAAATTTCATTTTTTAAATTCGAATATTTCTCTCGATCGATTGAATGTTCAGTTAAATATTGACAAAAATCGAGATTTTCTCGAAGCCATTGATGAGCTGGTGGTAATAAAACATGAAGATCAAATCCATATCCTTTGGAATCAATTTCATTCTTTGGTGTAATATTAAAAAACCAATGATCTTGACAAGAAAATGTGTGTGGAGCAGTACCAACATATATATACCCAGCGTTTCGTAAATCTTCACCGAATTCTTTCGGTAGATATTTTGTTATAATGGCAATTGCGATATCATGTACTGGTTTAGCAAACGCGATATTTTTTATTGAAGTTGAACCAATATGAAGAATTCCATCTGATGAAAGTTCTTTATCAAAAATATGTTTCCATTTGGATAGAAGAATTTGATTTAAACGAATTTTTTCATTTTTAACTTCTTCTTCCCATTTTGATGTCCATGGTTTTAAAGTAAGTTTATCATTCTTATTCATATAATGTAAATTAATAAATGTTTGAAATAATGTACGTCTTTCGTATAAAGTCCAAATTATCATTGTAAAACTATATAAAATAATAATGGGAATAGCATAGACTTTGTAACCGAATAATACAATTAGCCAATATAAAGATAATGTGAGAATAACATGAAATATTTTTCGTAGTCGGGAATGATGCATTATACCAAGGGATATAAGAAATGAAATAATCCATACTCGAATCAATTTCCAGTTTAGTGTTGGATCGAACATGTTCGAATGATTAAACTGAAAAGATAGACGTTTTTCTCTCTATTTATTCAGCCATTAACCCTTTCGATCCCGAGAATTTCTTGCGTTCTGTATGAACACGAAAAATATAGAAAATCTCTCTCTCTTGCGTTGAATCAGCTGTATTTGAATCTAATGTGATCGAGATATAAGAAACATGAAGAAACACATGAAAATTTCGTTCAACACATATGATATTCGTCTTCTAAGTAGACGACAGAACGAAAAAATATCTTTCGTGTTCTCTATGGCATCTACGAGATGCCATGCGGGATCGAAAGGGTTAACACATTCTTTTGTATGTCTATATATATGATAATAGAACGACAGTAGAACAATTTGTCACGCTTCGTGTGATGAATCATCAGACGAAGAGAATTCGTCGCGCACGATTGTATTTTCTGTCGGTATCTCTTCTTTCACGTTCTATACTCTGTTGTAGATTTTTTAACAAACTAAGTTTCGTTTACTCATCCGCTATTTAAAATATAGCAGATCCACCTTCCCAATGAAAGTATTTTTCGTCTATCTGAATTCTTAACACCATTGGATTTCTACAAATTTATTCTTTCCATCTTGAAAATATTTCTCAATGGATTTCATTCATAATCAATTGATCATTTTTAAAAAATATGATGTAACTATGAACCATTGAACAAATTAAATTATTTTTGTCTTTATCTCTATCAGAAGATGTTCATTGTCTTGAATTTAATGAAGATCTTTAGTCAACAGTTGAACGATATAACTTACTTATAACCATTTTCATTTTCATGGTTCATTTTTTATCGCTAAGTAATTATAATTAGTCGTATATTAACGATTATCATATTTGAAATCAATTTTCTTTCAAAATACGGAACTATTTCTGTTGGAGATATCTCAAATTCATGGCGTTTTTCTCGATCGTACGCATTAACGAAGACATGAAGAAAATATTGATAGTTATTCGAAATATGAATGTTTTATATGATGATATCATTCGAAGTTATGATTTAGGAGTAACAACATACAGTTCAGAAGCTTGATATGAGCATTACGGTGTCTTATTTGATCACATTTGAAAATTTGTTCGACATACGGATGTATATATGCAAGAAAACACCCTCACCCACACCCACCCTCAAGATAAACTTAGGTTACATAACACACTATAGTCACTTTTTTCGCTCTCTACTAGAATTTAACAGGTCATATAGTTTTTCTTTTCTCCATTGAGTATATTCATTACATCATACCACAAAAATAAGCAGCAAGAAAAGAAAGAAACAGAACGAGAAAAAAAAGAATCTTAGGCTGATCTGCCTATAATGCACGCGTACACTTACTTGGCGTGTTCTTCGTGTTGTTTTCTTCTTTCTCTTCTTGTCGACTATTCTAACGCACGCGTACATAAGGTACAGACAGTGCGAACGTTCCGTAAAATTTCTTTTTTTCATGTAATTTGATAGAGTTTTAGCTCCAACAAATATCGTTTTCAGATCGAAAAATTACAGATACTCCAAAAGTGTCGTTTTTCGGCCTGAAAATAGTATTTTGTGAACAAATATGTTCGTTGTTACACGATTTCGTACAAAAACCGATTATATATTACGTAATGCCGAATGTTATTTAACAGTTTCTCAAAAGTTGACAGAGAGAAAAAATCTAGGGCCTCAGTTCTCCCTCACCTTCGCGCCGCCACTATTTCTATTGAAGAGTTTGTAATAAGTGGGAAGATTTCATCGAGACCTATCAGAATGATTACTAGTATTCTTTTTTTTAAAGAGTTGAGTACTTTTTATGGTTTTCTGTACCAAATCAGTAGATTCCAATTTAAAAGCTCACACAAAAAGCTTGGTTTTCCAATAACTTTGAAGTTATTTTGACTAATTTCATTCAAAATGATATATTTCGGAACTTTTTTCGTGACTCTCTTGTCCAAAGTCATGAAGGAAGCTCGAAGAAAGCAGAATACTTAGAAGGTTTCAGAGAAACTACTGTTCGCTCAGAAAAATCTATACAAGTTTTTACCGAAAAGTCGCAGGAAATTCATTCTTCTATGTATATATATATAGGTGAATTTATAAATTGATTAAAATGAGTCATGATTTTTGAAAAAGATTATAGGAGTGTCCTTTCAGTTGCTGGAATAATATTCAACAAAAACTTTTTTGCATATCAGCCATTCGATCGTACTTCAACACTTTTTGATAACGTGATGTTTTTTTTACATAGATTTGTTCTTTTATATCTGTGAATTAGTTCTCAGCATTTTTGTCTCTCTTCATCTCTTGTTTGTTTTAGATAAATTAATCGGTTTCAGACATAAACTTTCAACAAACAATAAACAATCAAGAATCATGTCCGCACTCAGATTGAAAGTCCTCATAGCAGGAGGAGGTATTGCAGGGCCTTGCCTCGCATATTGGCTCACCAAAATAGGTCTCAATACGTCCATTACAGTCGTTGAACGATCACGTTCTCCGAGAGTCACTGGTCAAGCGATCGACATTCGTGGTCGAGCAATTGAAATTATGAAGAAAATGAAATTGGAAGAGGCTGTCCGCTCCTTTAGTACTACAGAAGAAGGTGCAATATTTGTGAATTCATCGGGGAAAAGTTTTGCTGAATTCATTGGTGGTGGTGGTTTCACTGCTGAATACGAAATCTTAAGGGCAGACTTATCACGACTTTTCCTGGAAGCCACCGAAGGCTTGGACAATGTTCGGTACGTATACGGTGATTCTGTCGAATCTCTCGAACAGACAGATAAAGATGTTAATGTTACCTTCACCAAAGGATCAAAAGACACATTTGATTTGGTGGTTGCTGCAGACGGATCTACTTCGACGACTCGACCGCTGATTCTGGACGAACAAATTCTCAAGGATAGCTACAAATTCCTGGGTCAGTACATTGCATTCTTTAGCATTCCAAGTCGCCCAACCGATCCAAAGCTGTGGCAGTGGTACAATGCTCCGAAAGGCCTCGGTATTATGACACGTCCACATCGAAATCCTTCTACTATAGGAGCATACTTGTGCATTACAATGCCATCACGAGAGCAACGGGATCCCATCGTCGAAGAAGCTATGGACAAAGGAACGGACGATACAAAACGAATGTTGCACAAGTACTTCGAAAATGCAGGCTGGGAAGCAAAGCGAGTATTAGAAGGAATGGACCAGGCAGAAGATTTCTACATGAGCCGGATGGCGTTGGTGAGACTCCCGAAATGGACGAACGGACGTGCTCTTGTGCTGGGAGATGCAGCCTTCGCAACTTTTGGTGTCGGAACAAGTCTTGCCATTGAAAGTGGTTACGCGCTGGCGCAAGAGCTGTCGAAGATACAGAGCACCGATGATGTTCCTCATGCTGTGAAGAAATACGAGGAAGTTTTTCGCCCAATATATGCAAAAACGGAAGGGATTCCACCCGGTTTTCCACAATTAGCATCTCCACAAACTGCTTGGGGTCTTCAGATAAGAGACTGGATATTGTGGTTTCTGAACAAGTCCAAGATATACAAATTAGCTCAAAGATAAACAACAAGCAAAACAAAGATACATGACATTAAAGATAGTGAACTGTTCGGGTGTTCGCAGAAAACGACCACTTTTTTATTTTCCTTTTTTTTTTTCTTCGGTAATTTTCATGCTGCTGCAGCAGCATTGTGTATTGTTATGTGAAATTTGTCATTGCAAGAAAAAGGAAAGAGCAACTGCTATGATCGCGTTTCACTAATCCAGCTACGGATCTCATCATATGATAATTATCTCTAATTCAACATGAATTAGTTTGCAGTTGATTTTTATAAGTCTAGCAATGTGAAAAGGTATCGGACATGTATATGTTGATGCATTAAAATACAAGAATACAAATGGGCGAAAGTTTTAAAATGATTTAGTTATGCCCGAATTTTGTGTACAATTGAGTTTAATGTCAGTTGTATCATTGAGAAGATAGTTGAATTTGAAGAACGTAATTAATTAAAGTATCGATTTTTGTTGTTGCTGTCGTCTTGCTAAAAATGAGAAATGATGTTGTTTAATATGATAGCTAATAGGCATTTATATTGGTATAATACCAAGTTATTTTCGAAAAACTTTGAGGATGTAATCGTAAACTTAAAGCATATCACGTTTTAATGAATGGAATCTTTTTTTCATGTACATAGTGAATAACTAATTCAGATGTCTTAAGGTGGTGTAGATGTTTCTTTTTTTTTGAGTTCTTTATCATTAATTTGATAGTTATGAAGATCTGCTTTAGCAACATTCATTACGACTTGTGATTGTCGAGCTGTTTGTTGATCTAACAGTTTCTTACGCATAAGAAAGAATTCGTTTTTGTTCTTATTAGATGGTAAAAATGGTGTTAGAGACATGCACTGGAAATAAAATCTTTGAAATTGTTCCCATAAGTAAATACTTGTCTTAGTAAATACAATATTTTACGAAAAGATTCGATAGAAATCAATATATAATTAGAAACTTCCATGTCGTCACTTGTAAAAAACAGTATCTTCTTAAAATTTATAGATATCATGATAATAGGATAAACCAAAAAAAGTTAACCATGGATGCTTTGAAACGATTTGGATATAAAATCGGTAACTATCATCATTCGAAGCCAACCGAATCATCTACCTGTATTTCTATTATTTACAGGCACACACAGTCAAATTGCGCAAAATATTGTCAATGAATTTTCGAAGGCAAGAATTGGTAAATATCATGCGGTTGTTGGACAAGATTACGGTGTATCATCATTATCATCGAGTGTCTATCGTGATTATTTATGGTTTTATTCCACTCAACAACCGCAAAAGTACATGTACTTTTATATTCAACCAAATGTTAGAAGATCGTTCATAATTAATCAATAAGTAGATTTCTCTTGTTTCCTTAGAAAAATGTTCTAATAAAAAATTATGACTTGAAAGAGATGACTTCGCGATCAGAGAGAAAATGTTGATTCGTTCGACGCACCGCACGTCTTAATCTACACCGGCGAAATAGTCGGAAAAAGTTGTTCCGTAATTCTTTCGAAGTCGATACATACACAAGCACATCTGCTGCTGAATTAGTATAACCTAACCACGAGAATATGTCAAATAAAAGTTCGTGATGTTGATCATCTTTCAAACGAATCAGAAATAGTCCATTGAGAGTGAAATAAACAAAATACGGTACCCAACAGATGATAAACGCGCCTATAATAATACCGATGAACTTCGCTGCCTTTTGATTCTTAGAAAATTTCCGCCAGAATGTGTTCGCTTCGGAGTGATTCCGTTTGATTCGATACACGGATTTCTGCTTTTCATTGTAGATTAAATCCATATGCGGATTTTGATATTTACCATGATGAATACGAATAGTTATTAATTCCGATGATGATTGATGATTTTCTTCATATGAGGTTTGTTTGAAAGAAAACTTTCCTGACTTCATTTCCGTCTGATGATGATGTTTATATCCCGACGACAGCGCTACGACTTGTTCTCGCGCGGCAATATACGTACGAATATACACATAAATCATAACAATTAACGGAACATAGAACGACACAATCGATATAAATAGAACATAATATAAGTTATTCGGAAAGTCGCATTCTTTAAATAACCATGGAGGCGCAAGAGTCGTTTCATTTGATATTGTTGACTGTCCTGAATATACGACAGAAAGCATGTTTACATAGATTTATGTCCTCATTTTTACATACGTGAAATGGCTTGTGTTGTTCCAAAATAAATTCCTGGTGGAAACGAAACGATCGCCGAACAAAACCATATCATCGGTAAGACGTAGTACCATTTCTTTGATAAAAAAGAATTTGGATATTCAATTGGTTTTGTAATTGCTATATAACGATCGAAACCGATCGCACATAAACCAAAGATCGACGCTGTCGTGGCGAATATATCCATCGAATGCCAATAATCACATAGAAATGTTAAATGCCGAGAAAATAACCGGTATTCATCATGTGTCATTTCGAATATGAATGCAAATGGCATGACAATCAAGCCAACCAAAAGATCGGAAAATGCTAATGAGCCTATATAGTAGTGTGTCGATGTATGCAATGTCGATTTACAAATGATAGCATAAATAATTAAGAAATTGCCAAGTACAGTGAATAGACATAGTAATAATAGGACGAAACCGATGGGATATGCTTGCCATTGAATAGCAGTGATTGTATCGTTGGTTAAAGCAAATAATTCCATATTGGCAGATTCAATCGAGAAGATGAGTAGCTTTTATCGATGAATGCGTGCCACTTGTGTTTTGTTAGAAGGTCAATTGAAAAGAAAAACACGTCAATAGCTGCAATCTTTCATCGGCAAGTCAATGTGTTGTCTTACGATAAAGAACAGAAAAGAAATGGCATGTTATTTGAAAGCAAATTCTTATGAAGAGAAGATTATTTAATCGTTTCCTTCGTGTAAACAAACGAGAAACATGATGTGCATAAAATGAACGAATATTTTCAACGAAGAAAGTCGCACAAACATTTTTTCTCTGCTCATCCTACGTATAAGAACGCAAACTATTTGTAGAGCTCATACGAGGATAATTTATTTCCGTTCATGATTACATACAATTATTCTCAAAAATTGACACAATTATTGGCCGAATAGATGAAACGGTAATTGAAATTGGTGAGAACAATTCATCTTGAATAGAGGAAGAATTATACACATTGTATCCGTATATAAACCATAGTATATTGAATACAGGTTGCTCCTGATTACTCCTCGGGAGGTGTTATTATTACTAAAAATAAGAAGATTTACGTTATTCTTTTGAAAAACTATGCGACTTTGATCTATAAGGATATTCATAGAAGAATAAAAAGAAGCAAGAACTCTTTTAATCGTCTTCAAATATGTATGGAGCAGCGATACCGAGCAAATGTTTTGTTTGATATCCAATTAGACGTTCTTCACTTCACAATGAAATCAGAAACAATAGTACAAAGAAAACATGTTTAGTTAATCATTCTTTTTCTTTCGCGAAGAAAGATTATTATAATCCTACTTTCGCTACTTTCTTGTATTTATCATAGAAGCTAGTCCTTACAAGTTCTTAGAAGTAATTAAAAGTAAAGTCGAATTCTATTTGACAAATACTGTTTCATTTCATGATTGTAAACAAATAGATTAACGACAATGCCAGCTATGCATACTTGACTACATATGACAGCGATGTGTATGGTGACGTTAAGAACACCGAAGATTATATTTATGAGATAAATAATCAGAACCGGTGTCCAACCGATGATAAACATTGAGAACATGAAAATCATATGTTTCATTAATGAAATATCTCGACGAGTGATTTTCACTTGTTGATTATTATTTATTTGTGCTGATGTGTCGGTTGATCTCGTTTGAACACGACGCGTTGAAGATCGAACATGTATGAGGATAAGCACGTTCAATGTAATATTGATCGATAAGGGTACAACAACTCCCGTAACTAATGTATAGTATCCCATCCATGGCTCATAATGACAGTACTAAAATGGAAAAGCTCATTTTCAGTCAAAGTTAAGCCTTTAGACATGGAAAAAAGATACCCCGATTTTCTTAGTGGAAATATATGGTAATGAAATGAGCATTTGCATCATCCATTGGATGGAGATACAGATGGTGGTCCACAATTTTGTTTTAAAAAACGCTTTTCTATGATGAACTACGCAACATAATCGATGAACGGAGAAAGATAAGAATGAAAACTGAACAGCTATACTAGCGATACTAAATGCGTAAAACAAAACAATACACCAGGATGCACCAATACGTTCATAGATAGCGATGAAATACACGATGAAGAAAGCGCTTGTGAGCACAATGCTTAAACACATATTAAGTATAAATACATTATTTTGATGGTGAAAACGTCGAACTAACAAAATTGTGCATGAGTACAAAAGAGTAAAGAATAAAATAATGGCATATAATGTATGTTGTACGATAATCAATATATCACTTGCATCCATAATAATAAAACACAAATGGAAAGAAAAAACTTGCGAAGATAGGTTTTTACCTTCTTTATTTTATTAATTTCCTTTATATAAATATATGAGGTATTCCTCTTAGAACATAAAGATGATGTTGAGGCTCAAAATTACAATGGCATTTACTCTCATGCTTTGCTGACGAGATTATTAGTTTTATTTTAAGCTGCACTAATACGATCTTTTCCACAGAGAATTTTCTTGTTTCTAATAACATCTTTGTAACAAGGATGATATACTTCATATTCAGATTTCTATTTAATGAAAACTATACCTTTGTATACAAAACCGTAAGACAAGTATGCAGTATCTTTTGTATATATGAACAATGGAGGATCTAGTGCAAAGAATGGCGTTTTCAATTTGTAATTGTACTCAAAATTATTTTCAAGAATTTATGTCGATATGAAGATATATGTAGAATTATGACGTTTGAACTAATAGCTGGATTGCAGTTTAGTATCCTTTGAAAGTGATCTGCGTTTAGAAGTGTACACGCATGAATTCATTGAATCTATACTTTAATTGTTCGATTGATTTAATACTTAAACACTTGAGCATCCTTTGTTATTCACAGGTATGCATATAATCTGCGAAACGACAGTAACGATTCTCTGTTCAATGTAGAAATAATGAGACAAGACTATGGCTGCTCTTATTATCGATCGGAGAAATAATAATATTATGTTGTATTACTAACGTTTGAACGCAATACATTCTCCGTAGTTGTGTGTCGGCCTTGTATTACAATTCATTCGTGGTGGCTTTTTAAATCAAATTTAAAAAAATATCTTTTCAAGGTAGCTAACACTGAAGATCTAATATAATGATTCCATAGACTCCGTCGCAAAAATGTTTACTTTTCATAAAAATGCAAATATAACAAAACTCCTAAGACTCTGATGCACTATACTTTTTTTGTTCGATCTAGTCGCCCATCTCTATCTCTTTTCAGGTGTGATTGATATGAGAACTATTGTATTTCGATGCCTATGTGATAGTGGATTTTAATAATAGAGACGGCTATATCTATGCGTATTCTTAATCAAATGGAAGAGTCTTGTTCGATGAGAAGTTCTCTGCAGATTCGTTATCAATCGAGATATACTCGAGTATATAGATTACGAAATTGGTAAATGTATAGAATATTTCATGTTCTTGCACCATTGATGACGAAATATAGGCACGTTTTTCTTTCTCTTTTATATGGCGAGCTATTTCCTCGGCTTGTAAGTGAGTCACGAATGCGTTGTGCAATTTTTGCATATAAAAAGAAGCAGTACGTGAAAAAGAAAGTAATTTCATAAACAGTGCCAAAAATCAAAATCGAGTCGCGACAAGTAAGTTTCAGAAAATTACTAATATAAATCTACAGAAATTATCTGTATAGTGAATCGTGGACGTGGTCGCGGAGCTAGTCGAGGAAGAGGTGGTCGGGGAGCGAGCCGGGGAAGAGGTGGTCGGGGAGCGAGTCGAGGAAGAGGTGGACGTGGTAGAGGTAATGCCCATGGACATGCTCGCGGAGGTGCTCAAGCTACGCCGATTGAGTCAATGGATATTGAGTTGCAAACAACACCGACTAATCTTCCTTTGGATCTTGATATTAACACTGATGCTAAACCTTATTTTATCAACACGAATGTTACACTTGATCAGCATATTCAAGCGCAAACAGCGAATCTACCACGTTACTTAGCCACTCTGTTTGCATTGAATGAAAACAATGTGGAAATTGGACAGAAAGCTAAAGCTTGTGTACTGGCTGCTGCCTGGTGTCGACACGATCATAAATTAGCGAATAATCTCTTGTGTCACCGGCAGTTATTCACTCTAACCGAAGTTCTCAAAGCAATCACTATGTTAGACGCTGCTCGACAAGTTCGAGTCTATGAAAAACAGCTCAAACGTTTGGAGTTAAGTCAAACAAAACCTAGTGCGAAAAAATTAGGTTACATGAAAAACAATATCGACAATTTGAACAAACTTAAAGTTTCGACTGGATCAGCAAGTGGTGCTATTGCTCGACATATTCAACGTTGGACTAGAACGTTGACTCAACGAGAATTGGAATATTTTGCCTTGCACATGCCAACAGAACCCTGGCGAAAATTAGCCGATATTGTTCATTTCAATCCAACGAAAGATTTTCCTGCTCTGCCATGGTTTTTACCTTTTTGTTTCGGTACACCAGCACCTGAAGAGAACATGGTCTCTCGTTGTCGAAATCTAACTGCTGCTAATGTCAACGAATTAATCAAAGAATTCAAAATACCCTATTCACACTTGAAACAATTCAAAGCGCAATTAAGCGATCAATCCAAAGCACGAATTGCTTCGTACGAAGAAAAACTAGATACCATTCTATGGTATTATGAAGACTTGGAATGTCCAGACGTTGATGAAGTTCTCAGTGAAAGATTACGAAATGGTGAGCAGATCACATTGCCATACGGTAAACTCATGGATCGTCTTTTACTGATTCGTACATTACGAGATGACAAACCAGATATTCCAGCATTCTATCGAAATAGTGAATATGCTAGTGCGTGGGGAGGACGTAATTATGTCTCTGAGCATAAACCACGTGGACCTCAACCAAAAAAGGCAGCACTCTACACCGACTTAATTGCAGTAGCGGAAAAGCAACTTCAAACAATCAAATTAACGTTAGAATCACCTGTAGGTATTCTTGCTGACGCTTCGTATTCAATGGAAATTGCCATCCGTACAGCAACTATTCTTTCATCATTGCTAACAGCAATTTGTTCAGCAAAACTGACATTTTTCCATGACAAAATGTTTCCACCTGCCTTTACACCGAAAAATATTGAAGATGTCCTTACATTGGCACTGACAACAAACGTTGCTGGTGGCACCGCCAATGCAGCTGCTCTTCTACCATATTATCAAAGTAAAGAAGTCATAAAAACTTTCATCATGGTTACTGATGAAGAAGAAAACGATAGCATTGAGCTACCAGATGGAAGTAAAACACGATTCTTTAAGCTATTTTTGCAATATCGCGAAGAAGTCTATCCAGCTAAATTAGTATTCATTTCATTTCTCGCTCAGCAACACAATCAAGGTCAAATGTTCAAACAATTCCAAGAAGCAAACATACCTGACGTGATTCAAGTAAGTGAAAAATACTGTTCGTTATGGAACTTATCAATGTAACATGGATTGCTTTCATTGTAGTTCAAATTCAATCGACAACGTCCAGATTTAACCAAATTCGATAATTTGTTAGGTTTATTATCCACACAATCATCAGATGTATTTGAAGATCGAGTGGAAAAGTTACAGAATGATTTCCAAAGAGATGGTGTCGACTCCGTTATGACAAATCTACTCCGGCAGTTACAGGAGACTAGTTCTCCTAATGAATAACTCGTTTTGTCTTTTAAAGATGCCTTGATTTGAATAAAAATTACTCCTTTGGATACGTTTATATAGTTTTGGCGTTGTCTATTTCTATTCCGCTTTCTTCAAGATATAAAGTAACGCAAAATTATCGATGTGAGCGAATAAATGAAATCTGTTATCGTGCCTCCTATTTCATTTATTTTATATGTAGAAATTGTGAGAGAACATGGCCAAAGAAATACCAAATGATGATGAATCTTTCCAGAAGCTCTTTTTTCGTATATCAGGAACCGGTGAAGGTCATTGGGAAATTGAACGACCTCAGTCAACTATCACTCAACTCGTTAGGCGAAATGTGTTTGAAGGTGAATTATTAGATATCGGTTGTGGAATTGGCGATAATGCGATTTACATAGCCAAAGAATGTCGTAATGTTCGTGTTACTGGTATTGATCTGGTAACCTACGCTTCTCATTGTTTGTAATGATCTGCTCTCATCGTATCTTCAGGTGCCGAAAGCAATTGAAGTCGCCAATGAAAAAGCACGGAAAGAGGATGTGGATATTCATTTTCAAGTTGTTGACATGCTGGATGATCTTGCAGAGAAGCAGATTTTGAAACAACACTTTTATGATGTTATCCTTGATGCCGCAGTTTTCCACGTTTTTTCCGATGTTGATCGCGAAAAATATATAAAAAATCTTGAATATTTGATAAAACCCAATGGTCTATATATTCAATTATGCTTCAGTGAAAAAGAAACACGCGAAGGTGGACCTCGACGTATTCGCAAAGTGGATTTACACAATTTATTCTCTTCCAACAAGGGCTGGACAATTGAATCAATAGAAGATAGTGTTTATCAATCAACACCTGCAGCTCTCCTGGAATCGGATCGGCAAAGTTATCTCACCTTCATTCGTAGGCAAGTAACTTCAACAGTCAATGAATCGAACGTGAAGCTCAATTAAAACAAAAAACAAACGTGACACTGCTGGTCTACACTCCCCTTCCTACGCCTAGCCCTTTCAAATTTTCCCAATCATATTCTTCTGATAGCGATTGAATAAATTGATTGCGATCTTCATCGGCAAGACATATATTATCGAACTTTTCTTGTCGATAATCATCTGATCGTTCTGTTCTATTCGACTGCAAATCAATGAAAATAAATATTGATTCCCACTACTATGAACTCGGACTTACATACAACGACGTTGACGAGTGATGCTAATATATGACTTTCTTTCGTATATTTCATTGTTCTATACAGCTGCATGCCGATGAGTCGACATAGTATTTCGGCAAATGTGTATATTAATGTTTGGATCAAATTTATCGAAGAATTTTAAAGAATTGAGATTTGAATAAATAAAGAAAAAAGTAATTTCAGGCGCTTGATTAAGTGGACACTTTTTCAGTTCATTTGAAACAAACAATTGTGTAGTTGAATTTGAAGATATGAATGAAGAACTAAATTGAAAAACGATAGCTGAAAAATAAGTATATATAGTACGCAGTCACTTTAGTCGCCGATAAAGGAATCATCAAAAATCACACGATCGCACATGCACCAAAATAAACATCAACGAATTCTTCATACTTAATAGCATTTATATAAGTTTTTTTAGTATCTATTCTTTTCGCCCACAGTCATGAATGCAGAGAAAGCATGCTGTTAAAAATGCTCGTATTGAGAGCTTGTTCGGTTCATGTACGGATCAACAAAGTAGATATCATCCATTAGTAGTCGATCGAGATGCGTATGATCGATCTGAATTTTACAGACGTTCTCTATTTATGGTAAGAGTTCATACTATTGATAGTATATTGTGTGATAAATTTTGGTGACAGATGGACAGCATATATTTCATCGCCATAAGAATATAGAAATACTCGAAGCTATGATGGACTACTACTATATTCTTTGTTGAATTTCTAAAGTGAAATATCTTTAGTGCAATCGTAAGTTGAGAGTAAAAAGATATTGCAGGCCTTTATTCGACTATCTAGTTGATTGCTTTGCATATTTGGAAATACTGATCGTCACCTATCAATGTTCTCTTTATCCAACATACTACTTTTACCATTGTAAGATGCAGCCAATCAGATATTGAAGAAGAGAACTAAATGACTTTTGACAATATATAATGTTATTATGATCAGAAATAATACATGTATTCGATATGTTTGCGAAGAGTCTCAACCCTTATTTCTTAATTAAAACCTACTGAATCAAGACTCAGAGTAGATGCCGACTAATCCAGTCACTTACCGCTCTCGATTTTCAATTGTTCCATCCTGCATTAGACATATAGTTCAACTATTGATATTCTGACAAACAACGGTGTGGTGCAACATCATCAATGATGCATAAACGTCTAGAGAATATCGATGAGTCAAATCACTTTTCTTTTCAGCTTCCTTTCGGACTACTCATCGAAGTACGAACATAGAAGCAAGCAAATGAATAATAAAGAAGAATAAAATAAATTAGAGCAAGAACTTTTCGAAAATAGTCTCATTTCGCAAGCACTAAACAGAGCGACTAGAGTACATCGAGAAGATGAATGTTTTCAAGAGCACTCGCATGTGTTCAAAAATATGCTCATCGTTTGAAATTCAGGAGATATGCTGATTATATCTTGACAGTTATCATTGTTGAAATCTTTCACATCATTCCAGGGTAGATGACCATTGTGTTCGCTTGAATGAATAAGTTGAACTTGGAAATTACCGTTTCGATCTTGAATAAACCCATAGATTTCATAAGGAAAATCTTTAGTAACAACGATGTCCAAATATTTATCATTGTTTAAATCGCCTAAGGCAACTGAACGAAATGGTAAAGAAGAGTTCATAGCAATTTGCTTCTGCCCATGAAAAGTACCATTGGTATATCGATAGGATATAAAAGCCGTATTTGTCCAACTGTGAGCTAAAGTAATATCAGATTGAAAATCACCACGGAAATCAGCGACAATCATTGCGGTTTTACCAGGGTTCACGAAAACGAAAAACCATTTATGTAATTGAAAACTTCTATCATTATTTCCAAAAAACGCATGTATAAGGTTGGTCGATCCGTCCATCACAATGAGATCTAAATAAGCATCATTGTTGATATCAGCAACAGATAATTGGTGTGCGTTACTATTGATTCCTATGTACAAAACTAATGGTGGTGAAAACGTTCCATCACCATTGCCATAATATATATGGATGTGATCAGAACGTGCACCAATAGCGATAATATCCAACTTAGTGTCATTATTCACATCTATTATGTTAGTGTCTTGTGCAATGATAGTTAAAAGAAAAGACTGTGTAGTTTGTGTTTGAAAAGTTCCATTACCATTGCCAAACACTACAATGATGTTTGTTTTGCTCAGTTCATTGTTGTAATAGGCCAAAACTAGATCAGTTCGACGATCATTGTTCAAATCGGCAACACGAATCCAATTTATCTTGTAAACATGTCTCGCTGAAAACGTGAACGCTCGTCGAAACGAACTATTGCCATATCCCAGTAAGACATGCACCATTTCAGTCCTATCGCAATGAAAGATCAAATCAATGTGACCGTCAGCAGTCACATCCGTGACAACAACTGCAGATGAGCTTATGAACAAACATGATGAATCAATAAATACTTGTTCATATTTAAAGAGACACAATGGCTCTAAATAATAATAAAAAAATCAAACGTTATTGAAGTTCAAAGCTACGTTTTAAATTGTTTTTATGTGAGATTCTTTTTACTAGTCATTGGGAAACTGACCTGAAGCATTTGACGTTGTAGATATGATCGCAGTAATTGTTGTTCTAGTGAAATTATCACTAATCGGTACATCGGTTGTTACCGAGTAGTCTACAAAACAAGAATAAGCGAGTCAGATTCGACTAAATCAAATTTCATTTTAGTTGTCGCTACCACAAGAATTTGGAAGCTGTTTTCAAAGTAGATGCGAGAATTGCTTTACACCTTTTTTTTAGGGTGGTAGCAGGTATACGATCTTTCCCACTTACTTTTATATGCGTAGTAGATCGAAAAACAACTAATTCCAACTGCTACGCATACCATAAGGATAACTGAACATATGATTTTTGGAAACCACCGACTGCGTGACATGCCATTATTCCTAAAAACAGAGAAGATCTATGGTTAAGAATCAAATGCAAAATGTCATCTACTGTGGTTCAATCTGAGACTTAGAAGTTGTATGTCGAACAGTTATATCACTGGTCATCGTGGGATGAATAGTAGTTGCTCGATTCTTTCGTTTATTGTAAATTTTGAACCCGAGAAGAATAACTTTTGGACAAGTCCATTTGAGAACTATTGTCAAGCCGCCTTGAAGGCCAAGTATAAGAGTAATGATGTAGAAAATGTTGAATCTTTTCACGGTAGTATAAGAACAAATCAGCGGTGAACATTGTTGATAGTACAATGAGTAATTCTTTTCTATTGACCAATCTTCAAGAAATACATGATTGACAAGTTCAGCTATTGTTATGTTTCGTGAGAAGCGACTTTCTTCTGTGAGAAGAGGATCTAGCGATGTGTTAGAGTTTGTATAGTGTTGAATAAGATTGAGACACGATTGATTATAAAAACATTGAAGAGTTGAAGAAAGAAATGACTGACTCGGGGTACAGCCCATTTTCATTCCATCGACGGGAGTTGCTCTTGAAAAATCCCATTCAATGAAAGCGGCTTGAGTTGTACAAGTTAGTGATGTTCCACAGGAGCATCCGTCATCGTACTTGACCGCCCTCGTCGCCACATAAACCACGATATCATCGAACTTTGTATACACATATTCGAAATTTGTTCCATACGATGACATAAAAGTGTTTCCATGGAATATAGTTTGACTGAACAGAAGAAACCGGGACAATGCGACTGGAGCGCTGGATTTACTGTGTTCAGTTAACATGGTGACATGCTCTTGGAAACTGTTTTCGGATAGGAGATCGACGGTAACTAGCAATGATGTTAAAAGCTGATGGATCGTATTATTGACTGATTCCATAGAAAGTCGACATAGTCCTTGAAGGTACTGTAAATGAGCAGAAAGAAATCGACGATAATCTCTCTGCGCGTACTTGGTTAAGTTAAGAGCAAGTCTATTTACTAAATTGAGTCGCCTTTCGTCTGATACAAATTGACTTTTGCAAATCTACGAACAAATTTATTCATCAACAGTATCGTCAAGGATGTTGTCTTACCGGATGAAATATTGGTTCGATCTGGACAAATTGATAATAATTCGATGCTATGACTGAACATGTACATTTTAAGTTTTCACCGTAGCGTTTTCTCAGATCGTTGTAGAAAGCGAACTTTGGTTGATCAAATTTTGTTGTTGACGGTTGTGGTTGTGCAACTCCATAGAATAGTAAAATACTGAGACCACCAGAAAATAATATCAAGTAAAGACGAGTCGCCCATCGACCGTAGTGTTTCGCTGTGATTCGATCAACACTAGCGCCGAAATTGCGTAGTGTAAATATATTCAACTCAACTAGGGTTGTACGTAAGAGTCTAATTAGCATGAATACGATGTTTTTCACTTGAATCTGAAAGCTAGGTTGAGCCACGACTAAAAAAAAAGTCGTCGGATGCTAAGTGTAAATGGATGAAAGTCTCGTACAGCGTCTTTTCGAATTTACCTGAAGAAAAGCAGTACTATGAATGAATAGTTACCTTGTATTCTTTGTTCTCTTTTCCTTTTCAATGTTTTCCAAAGTTTCAAAACGAACTTAACAAGCAGAGGTGTTAAAAGACGTAATGAAACAACAAGACCACCTATCATCGATACCAGTCTTATAATCACACCAATGAAAGACGCTTTTCGACTTATTTGAGGATAGGAGCAGTATAATGGTGCACAAGATTCATAGAAATGCTCATATGATGAGACTGGATTCCATTGTTCGATCATCAGTTGTTTGACAATTGCCGAAAAAGATTTGTTAGGTGGGTGGCGATCTCTTGTTGGGTCATAAGCGAGAAGTCGTAAATCAAATGATGATAAAGAATCTTGTGGGTTTTTCTCGTATAGACCTAAATAGCCCATGAGTATTGGAAAGCAATCTGAATCTTGGTATAAGCACTGGAGAGTCGAAAGTAAAAGTGAGCCCATGGGAAAGCAGGCTTCCATCCAACCGGGTATGTTCCATATGGAGGGGATACTCTTGTTCAAATAATGGTCGAAATTTGATTCGAAGATATATGATGGGTTTTGGCAATGTGGATTGATGGCACAAATACATTCACTCGATGTTGAATTAAGTTCTTGAATTGTATAGAAAGCAAATTGCACCTATAGACAAAATTTCCGACGGTTATTTCCGTTTTCAGCGTTCTCTGTCTTAAGTTCATCAAGATATGTGATGGGAGCATAAAAGGAGACAAAAAGAGCAGAGTCCGATGAAACTGTCTCAATCTCGTCGGAACAGATCTGAGACAAAAAACTGACATACTTGTGCTACTCGACAGTCACTTGTTTCGTCCATTGTTACATTGATACTCAGACGCAATTCAGCAGGATTATTGGACATATACTTAGTTCCCATATAAAATTGATCAACTTGCATGATTAGACTGGCTATATCTTTCAGTAAAATAAAATTGTAGAACGTTGACTGGTAAAATTGATCGAGGGTTGCATCGAGCTGCTTAGCAAAATTCGTTTCGTTTAGTACTGAAGAAACAATGAAAAATTGGTGGACAAATCGGTCAATGACATCAGTAATCGTCCTATTGGCTAATTGGCAAAGATCAGACAATATCTGAAATTGTACATATGCCTCCTTGCGCCAATCATCATGCGTTATGGACTTTCTAATGAGCTTCAGTATTTCGATCCAATATTTATGAACAAAACTACTCGAACAAACGGAGTGAAACACTGGAGAAAATGAGAGAAAGTTTTTATAAGGTATTGCTTTATTTGAACACGGACATCGAAGTGTTGATGAGTGTATTGATTCTAATGAATTGTAAGCTTCGAATGCAGGACTGGGTTCAAGTACTGTTACTGATGCCTTGCTCAATAATACGAATAGACACAGAGAACATATTGAGCCTAAAATTTCAAACAAGAAAGATAATATTCTTTTCAAATGTATGATTTCTCAGGAACAACTTTTATCAAGTATATCCAAGAGATGAGTATGTAACTATCTGTGTAAAAAAGGGAAACGATTTACCGAACAATAGGATAAAGTAAATCCGAGTGATCATTTGTTGCTGTCTAACACCATCTTGAGTTCGATCATGAATATTTTTAAATACGTTAAATTTCTTTATCGATCTCAGAGTTGTCAACAGTGTTTTGTGCTGATGACCAGAACGTGTTTTTAAGTTAAATACAATACCAAGAGAATATGACGCAATCAATCGTAGTATAATCGTAAGACCACCATAAAGGCTAATGAATAGGGTCAATACAGATACTAAGTTTGTTCGATCTGTGACCGTGTATGTACATATCGACGGAGAGCACATACTGAAATACGATGAAAAATCAATATCTGATGACCATTCTTCAATGAAAAGAACTTTTAAATAGCTCATGATGGAAATATTTTTATAGTGTGATGATAGGATTGAATTGTTCAAGTTGGCATATGTCTAAACAAAGAGAAGAACGATTAAACCAAAAGATAATATTCGACAGACTTTATTGAGATTTGGAAAATAGTCGAACAACAGTTGGACACATTGTAAATCATAGAAGCAATCCAATCTACTTGCAAGAAGAGATCCGAGAGGAGTACATCCCACAAAGAAACCTTGAACAATTATGGAATCACTCATTGGTTTCATCGCAGTTCGACGATAGACAAATATAGACTCATTAGATAATGGAGAAACAGAAGCTGCTATCAGTGGATTCTCGGCGACGCATGATGGTCTGAGTCCATCTACGTCAAATTGCAATACGATTTCTGCGCGGATTTGTAATCCGATATCATCGTCATCTAATATTTCAACTATATAATTAGTGCCGAGAGCTGTAGCTAGAAAATTTTCTTGAGTTGTTGATATTAAATAGTTCATATACGACATCATTTGATCAGATGCGCTGTGCTTTTTCAATTCAATGAAGCCATCAGCCTCCTTTCGGATTTCCATTATGGAAACGAGTTCAATCGAAATAAAATCAGTGCTGGCAATATCTTTTTGAATTTGAGCAACTATCTTGTTCGAAAGTGAACAAAATTTTGACAAAAGTTCAAACTAAATTTAAAGAAAAAGAAAAATCAACGCAATCTTTCGATGTTTAAAACAGATCAAATCATGTTGACGGAGATTTAGTATTCACTAACCTGCGAATAAGCTGTTGTTCGAAAATCCCATACGCCATAGAGACTTGCATTCTCAAAATATAATCCTTCGAACCATTGTTGATCAACAAAAGTACTCGAGCATACAGGATGCACAGTAATATGATGGGAAAGAAATTTCTCGTACGATATGCTTGTTCTTCTACAAGGACATGAAAGAGTTCGATTATGTTGAGAGAACAATTTAGTAAAAAGATGAGGCGTTATGTTGGAAACGACAATTGTTTTCTGTTCTATTTTGATCAGAGTAGCATAAAATAAAACATAGAGACATACTATAGCAAAGAAAGTTGGTTACTTCTAGTTCAAAAAAAGCTATTCGATGCTGTTTACCTGTTCTAAGTGTAACGTACAACCATGTTTTATATTTTTGATATTTAAGAACAATGATTGGATCGGCGATGTCATCATCGTCATCATAGTCATTCTCTTCTAACATGAAAAGATTGTAATGTGACACTTGTTTATAAATCCATTTGAAAGCCGTCTTTGCCTTCATGATGTTGAATGAATCCTTTTTCACAAATACGGTCAGATGAAAATTTAGTACTTTCAAAATGTCCTCAACTCACAAAAAATTATATTTATATACGGAGCTGCATGAACTCTCTGCGTAATCAGTAATACTTTCTTGTTGATGCCAGTTGTCATAAGAATAAGTCAGGTTTTGCTTCGGATTTATATTTTAGTATAGATGATTGATACGCTTGGAAATGCAATATCAGACTTCGTGTGAAGTATTGTCGAACTGTCATGCAAGTGTTTGACATATATGTTCAATATTAAATATGTGAAAAGTAAGCGTTCAGATTGTATACTGATTCCAAAAATCGAAGCATATTTCGAGAAAGGATATTGTTCGATCTTTTAGCTACACTTCAGAAAACAAAGCAAAAAATTGGAATGCTTCACGATTTTACATGTCAACCTTGCGCAGGGGCCATGCTAATCTTCTCTGTATACTTCCAATTTTATAATGTGCACGAGGCGAAAGTCAATCGTTCTCGGATTTCATATATACTGAATCAACACAAGCAGAAACAAAACGGTGAATGTATGTTAAAGAAATTACACAATCTCATCATTGACAAATAGATGAAAAATAGAGAGAAAGATTGCACGTTCGATTTAGTGTGGTGCTTCGGCGGGGATCGAACCCGCAACATTTTTGTCTTCGGCAAAATAATCTCCCATTGATCTACAAAGCGATGTAATCGAAACATCATAGCTTTCTCTTTCTTTGGTAGACGTGAGGCATGCTATAGGTTGTAATTATACAAGTATGATGCAATACCTGCTAATATTTTTGGAGCGTATTCACAACTTGAGAGTTCGACGTGACAACAGAATTGTTCAAGAATTGATTGATCATTAGTTTACCTGGACTTTCTTGACAATTATTAATCAATGAACCCTTGCGACAATGACAGAAAGCGCTTTTTATTCCTTTTTTCGCTCGATTTATTAACTTCATTCTGTCACATCTTATTCGAGATGAAATCAATGAATACGATGCTAGTTTGTTCATTATGAAACACTTGAAAGAATACTTTATCTATTCGACACAAATTTCTCATATTTATACAGAAAAGGAAAAGATATGAAGTCTGATTATTAGTCGATACATTTGTATAAAATGTGTTCTGCGTTTACTAAAATTGCTTTGTCACTCTTCACCCTCACCCATCGGCTTGAAACGAACATATTCGATTTCGAGACGCGCAGGGAATTGATGATCGTCTATCTCATTGCCGGCTCTATAATAAAAGTACAAAGTCCAAATTCTGATTGTTTGATCATCAATTAGTGTACTTACACATTTCCACCAACAGCGAGAAAGATTTCCAGATGAAATTCTTGATCGAACGGCCTGAGAATGAGAAAGAAAGAAAGAAAAGATGTTTTACAATGCACTATTCACACTCATCCAAGTCTGAGCACTTACCAAAACTGCCAGTCTCTGTCTTGTTTTTCCCATATCAGAATGCGACGATCATCCTTATCTCCATCGTTCAATCGAACAAACATTTCGATTTCATCGGGAGACCAAATTACTAGAAAAAAAAGAGATCTCGAAAGATTTTTTTGACAGTGAAGATAAGTTCTTACGTGTGTAAGTTTTAAAGTGTATCGTTGCATCAGGTATTTTAGTTGTATTGAAAGGAGTATTGTTCTGTGATGGATTGTTTGATTTGGTGTAAACCGATGATCGAATCGTTGTTGGATCACGTCCAACATGTGACATGAGATTGATTTCGCCATTATCTGGCCACATTGCATGGCCATAGGTGTGTACAGCAGGAAGCTGAAAAGCAAGTGTGTTAGGTAGGATAGTATTTGAGTAGTAAGTTTGTACGTGTAATACTTACGAGAGTAAAAGAAGACCATGTTCCTTTTATGGAAGGTAACTTAGCACGGATCTGAGAGCAAGGAGAAGAATCAGACTGTGTCGAAAGAGTGTGACAATGTGTACCTCAAAGCGACCGTATCGAAATGATTGTTTGCTTCTCAGTCGAGCAGACGTATATTCACATCCTTTGTAGTTCTCTTTTCGTGCTTCTATAATTACACGTCCATTTTCACATCGTGCATTTTTGTCCACATTTACTGTATAGTACTGTTTCTGACCAGTGCCCCAACCATTCTCTCCTGTGCCTTGCACAAATTCCCACTGATTCACCTCGCTTGTCTTATTTGTACTGCGGAATTTCTCATAAAATACCGATTTAGCACTAATTGTTCGCATGTTTTGACCCTCTTTCTCTTCTTGCATAACGTCTGAGAATATTGTTTCTATATGTTGCCATCGGCCTTGACTCACGCGTTCGAACACACTGAAGGCTAATTGTGACTTCTGCAGCTGATAATTAGCTATCATTTGCTTGGGATCTGATTTCGCTGTATTTGGGCACTTCTTACCTGAACAGAATGATTGAATAAGATTCCAAAAATACATGTATTGAATGGCAGTAATTTTACCTGTTTGAAATGAAATTAAATCTCCGTAGTCTTCCAGCTGACTTTGTTTGCATTTGATTGCGACAAGATTATCAAATCTTCAAATGGTCGCACACAGTCAGAGTTGCATAAGAAAAAAAATCAGTTGGATAGGCTGAAACTTACGTCATAATTTCATTTGAATCTACATCGTTTCCAGTAATTCGATATAGGATGCCTGTCGAGTAGGAGAGAATCTCAGATCGATTTCCTCTATTCATTATTTCTAAAGAATTAGGATGAATATAACGCCGTCCATCTTTCAGTTCAACTGTTGTCAATGTAACACGAATGTAGAAGATTCGATTGGAATTGAGATAAGTGTCTGGAATCTAGACATAAGTGGATGAAGTGAGTAAATGCAAAAGAGAAACATTAGTCGGCAAACTTACTCTGACAGCTGGATAGTTGTAGGTCTTTCCATTGAGTTCTTTGTGTACTCCACGGATATAACGTGGAGGTCTATCATTAATATCTGATGCATAAAATGGCCGTTGGGTTGGTTGAGGTTGAGCGAAAATCTCGATATTTCTAAGATTCTGTATATTGGATTTTTGCTGCTTTGGACAACTCAATCTGTATTCCGAATCTAAGAGAAATCAACACGAAGCTATTTTCTCAGTCAGCAGTAAAAACTAAACGAGATATTACTGAGGGGATTGCTATGACTAATCACAGCGAAACTATCGGGTGGTACGGTGCCCGAAATTGGACTGTCTATTGTACAGAAACAGAGAAAAAAAAGAAAGAGTAAAACTTGAGCAGTGACACGGTTGAACATACCTCGTACGCCTGGTGTAGATAATGGGCTCTGAGATAGAGCAAGTTCCGCTATATTCGTTTCTGTAGATTTTAGACTGAGTTGCTGCAGTCCTGTGGAAGCATCTATGAACGAAGCCAATATCACAATTAACCATGTATATAGCAGTGACAACAAAAGAGTGGTAAGAAATCCTTACCCATTATACTATAATCACATAGATCATATTCCATTATCAAGTCATCCATAATGAATCAATAACTGATGAATGGTATAGTTTGATCAAAATGCTGTCATTTATAGATATACGAAACGAGTGACAAGAAAGTGCAAAACTCCCACGGCGATATGTGTTAGTGGAGAAAACAATAAAATACCCACCTTGTATGATTCACTCCAGAACGAAAAAGTACGAACGAAGTTTTTTCCTGTTTCTTCTCGTAAACGAAACGATGACTTGGCACATAATCAAAGAGTTGGCATGGATATGCGTCATGTGCTTCACACGCATTAATTATTTTACCCACCATAAGGATGATTCTTTTTCAACTAAAAGAAAAAGTTAGTTTCGGTTCTATCATACGTATTTGTCATCATATCAGATAAAAAATATAATTTTGCAGACAACAAAGGAGTCTCTCGAGATATTACCGCATCCTCAAGTTCATTTGTGAACAGCTACACTAACGAATTGCCATACAGAGGTCCGTAAAACTTCAGCTAGGTATCTATTAGATTGATAATTAGAGTACAGATCACTGTATTCATACTTTACGAAACATTCGAATAAAATTTTATTTCCTATTTCAGACGCTGGAAACACGGTGACGTACAATATCTTACCGATTTCATGTATAACCCTTTTCTAATATGCGTGATTACTGTACTTGGTATCTGCACATGGACGCAGAAACAGATGTTACGGATGAAACTTTACCGATGGTGTAGCAATAGACGTACATATGATTGAATTGTATGCTAATGATTCATGGTTGTCGAAATTATATAGCTACCATCTTTCATTGTGAGACACCTACGTCTCTCAAGTAAATTGCATCATCATGAGAGAGCAACTAATAGCTAGAATAAAAGCAATGTGCACTATGTGAAAATTCTCTGTTATTGCTCTGTTCTGTGCGCATGCACGCACTCCTTATACACTGTTCGTTCTTGTTTTTATTTTAAATATAACCGTAGAAAATTAACTAGATGGATATTACTCAACTATGCGAGAAGATTTGACCTGATCTTGATCGCTTTCATCGTATTATTAACTGTCGACCTTCATATATTTATACGACATTTGAGACTGATCGTCGTGCGTTTGGTGATCAAGACTTTGCTTGTTTTTAATTAAAGGTTACTATTACACGTTCAAGACAATGCATGATATTCATACGTGCTCTTAAAAGTTTAGTTCATTGAAATTTTTAAAAAATCTCTGAGAGATATTACTCTCTGATACGTGTTTAAATATGCCAGTGAAATTGATTTAAACCCAATGAGGAATCCAAGTATTTTTCCAAGGTATTTGAGATTGGTAGCTGATTGATTTTTTTCCCAATTAAACTTCAGATCACTACACACCCAATCATTTTGGTTCAAATTTCCATGAAATTACGACCAAGTCGAAACGTGGACATGCATATTCCATCACCATTCGCAAAGCTTTTGCTCCATACTCGGCTCTGTCTTCATTGAATAGTTTTTTAGCCTGTTCGTCCATTACACAATGGTCTCCGGGATATTCAATGACTCGTACAACAAGCGCTGCAATAAATCGATTCTAAAGCGCCATTCTTTACAGCTGGATGATAGATAGGCATTAACAATGTCATTATTGGTCGTTTGAATTGAAAATCTATGGATAGTTCAATAGGCACTCGAAATGATCCATATTTGTCGAGTGCGGGTGAGGGTGTGGTCATAAAACTATGAGACAACCTGAACCTCACCCACTCCTCACACCCACACCCTCACCGTACTCTTCAAGATACTGAAAAACATCTGTATTTGTTCTCATCGATTAAATTCGTGGGTTTGTATACAATAGGTAGGTGTGACTGATGTCCACAGGAACATTAAATACTACCTACGCAAATCTTTTATCAATCGGACGACGCACTCGCTTTAAAATAAATAATTGAGTATATTTCTCACGAAACGATATAATACTTATTCTCTTTCTCGTAGAACGGAGTCTTAGAAACATAAATTGTTTGCTTGCTTGTATGCTCGCAGGGTCAAAAAACATCGAAAATCGATTTTTCCGAAAAGACATTTCCGGAGGCATTTCGATGCGGAGACTTCGAATCTTATGTTATTTTTTTGAAAGTGTTTGTACAAAAATTTTTTTCAGGCAAAGAACCGTTTTTTTTAAAAATTTTTATACGAACTGACGGAGAGTAATAAAAGCTGAGGAACTGGAATCCAAGGTTAGTTCTTCTATGTTGCATAATGAAAAATCTTGGTAGCATTGTAGAACAATATATCTACGAGAAAGAACTGAGCGAGTCCACAGGCGAGCGTTACTTGTTAGAATAGTATTCGTTTCTAAACATTTATGCCCGATAATTTATTAAAATCCCTTTTTTTTCAACCATTTCTTTAGCTTGGAACTGTCTCCTATGGGCGTACGCCGGTGACACCTGTCGATATACTTTCACTTTATCTCACTATTCAATAGTGTCTTCTCGGCAATTTCATTGGTGCTTTTTTTTCGGTATGCGCACGCGTCGACTTTAAACTAAAGTAATATTTCTTTTTTTTCTGTATGTTTTCGGCCTCACTCCTTGAAATTTCGGTAAAATATTTCATTTAGATAGCATGTTTTTGAGGAGGGTATTACTAATTTATGCTAACAGCACACACACACTCAGCTTTTTAAATCTATACATAGGTTACTCTCACTAACACCCACAGAATTGTAAAATCTACATTTTGGAAACAACAAATGATGACGTAGGACAGGATTCGACATTTTCTTTAGCGGATTCGTTTCAGCGAAGGTTCCAATTAAATCAACACTGGTTCCAAGTACAACTTAATGAGCTCTATCGGTTCCAAAAATAAAACTTCGAAAAAAAGCTCTTTCTTCACCTTCAAAACCCAAAGAAACCTGAAAAAGCACCCAAAAAAACCGAAACTAGAGAAAAATTGGGGCGGATTCGTTTTACAACTACAGACCACGATTTTCACACTGGTTTCAGATCACACTCGACGAGCTCTATCGGTTCGAATCATAAAAAATGTTCACCCCACCCACGCTCACCCTCACACCCTCAAATTTTTTATGACTCGAACCGATAGAGCTCATCAAGTTGTCCTTGGAACCAGTGTTGGTTTGATTGAAACTTTCGCTGAAACAAATCCGCTCAAGAAAATATCGAATCCTACCCAAAGGGAGAAAGCCGTTTGTCGTTTCAAAAATGTAGATTTTACAATTCTGTAGGTTTTGCTGTATATCCACTTGGATGTTTGTCAAGACCATAAGAAATATATTGGGTGTTAATGATGAGGGGGGATAATTTTTTCCTCTGTATTTATAATTTCTTCATCTAAGAGTTGGACAAAGTGGGGTTTAGTGAGAGTAAGCTATGTACAGATTTAAAAAGTTGAGTGTGTGTACTGATAGCAGGAATTAGTAATATGTTTTTGAGATAAACGTCAAATAAAGTGACAACCAAAAATAAACAGATTTTTCGACTGAGGTTCTGCATCTGTAGTGTCGTACCAAATTTTTAGCTGAAAAGTTCAATGGGATGGGAAGAAACTTCTTGTGTAATCCTTCGTAGAGAAAGAAGATTAATGCTGTAATGATCCACAAATGCATACAAAATAAATATACCATCATGTCAGTGTTTCTGTTAATAACTCTGAGGAGGAAAAGAAGTTCTGGTGTTCTAGATTGTCTATAAAGTGTTATGGTGGTTTTATGTCTCTCTATTCATTTGTCGTCTTGTTAACGTCGAAAATGAAAAAAAGAAAACTTTTGTATAAGAGTATTTTCTTTTTCTATCGATGTTTTCTAGCAAACCTCTAATAAATTATCGATTTTCTCTGCGTAATTTGTTACATATATTGATGTACTTTGTCAGGATTTTTTTCTGTTTTTGTCTTCCATGCACTAGTATATAAACGAATGATTTCTATGGTTTCAGGACAATGAAAGTCGAGAGAAAGAAATTTTTAAAAAATCCTTAGTTCCATCAGCGCACATATATCTTCCACAAAAATAGCTAGTTTCATTTATATTTATTATTATTCTAGACTACTTGCAATATAGCTTTTATAAAGAAAAGTATTAAAATGGAAAACAGATTCGTCGACACAAGTGATACTCTCTATGGAGACGAAAGTACCAGTCCGATCTACGGTTATCAAGACCAAGTTATCACAACATTGGAAGAAGCTATTCAAGGCATCAGACATGAAATCCTTCGAATCGATGATTACGTAAGGCAAGCAAAGAAAAAATACAAGAGACCATGTCTATTAACAGAGGATGAGTTTGCAACCATCTATCTTTATACAATGACCAGCTCAGGTTTTTCTTCAAGGCTAAACGGTCGTCTTCGAGCCATGGAGAAAGAACCGTTAAAACCATGGTTTCCATACTTAAAGTTCTTCATCACGGCTCTCAATAAGCTACCTTCGTTCAAAGGTATTGTGTGGCGTGGTGTATCGAAGAAAGAAGATTACAATCTTGGCAATATTGCCTGCCAAACTCGGTGGGATATAACTTCTACTACGAAGGACCTCAAGGTTAGCGAATTATTTTTCGGTGAAGCTGGCATTTTATATGTTATCAAAGCCGTAAATGGCAAAGATATTTCAAAATATTCAGCCAATCCTGATGAAAAAGAGGTGGTACTCATGCCAGGTACACGAATACTGCTCGAAACTGAACCATTTGTAATCAACAACGAATCATTCATATACTCATTCGAAGAATGGTAAGTATATTATTTGACTATCCTTCCTTTTGATTTATTTGGGAAATATTGACCGCTAAAAGACTTACCATATGTTGCAACAGATTTATCGATACTGTTTTTCTTGCTTTCAGTACGAGTATTCCACAAGGCAAACATGTCATGTTGTCTTACGAGAACAATGACAAAGCTGTTGTTTTGCAAATATATCAATATCTGCATAATAGGTCGATACCAGTTTGGTTCGATGAAAATATATCGAATAATAATATTTATGACAGGTACGAATATTTCTGTAAACATTAAATGGTTGATGCTATCGGTATATCTCTGTTCCAGCCTTGCAATTGGAGTAGAAAATGCAGCATTCGTCGTATGTTTCCTCAGTCCAGAATACGAAAGCTCAGCACGCTCTCAAATAGAACTCCAATATGCGCAAAAGCGTCATAAGAAGATCATTCCGTGTCTAACTAAAACAGAAGAAACTTGGAGATCGATCCGTTGGCTGAGTCCTATTCTGGAGGGAGTGAAACAAGAAGATTTTCGGCATTTCTCACCCTCGGATGATATTGATTCTGAAATGGATTATTTATTGTGGACACTTCAAAAAATGGTATATGTACCGGAAGAAAATTCAGAACGACTCAACATTCGATTCGAACTGATCAAATATGAATATTTATGCAACAGTAAAATAGAACGGTTCATGAATCCAGCAGTAACTTTTCCAATCGACCAGAGTTATATCAATTTGGCTATCGTAGAAACCAAAGAAACTCGAGAGAAAGAGGAGAAACTTAAAGGAACTCAAAACATTGGAACAATTATTGACACGTACGAAGATATATATGGCAGTAAGACTCCAATTAAGGTTAAAGATATTTTCGAAAAATGCAAAGATCAGAACAAACGCATATTAGTATTTGGTCGCGCTGGTATTGGAAAGTCAACATTTTGTCGATATGCTGCCTATCAATGGGCAACCGGTGCAATTTGGTCAGAATATGAACTGGTTGTGCTCGTTCCTTTACGATCTCTAACAGGACCAAAGTATAACGCTAACAAAGAGTATAATCTCGTGGACATCTTGATAAATCAATATTTTTTCGATCGATCTCTATCAGTTGAGGAGAAGAATACGTTAGAAAATAAGATTCACACAGGTCGAATCCTGTGGCTACTCGATGGTTACGATGAAATAGTACAGGAAACATCTTCACATCTGCAAAACTTACTCGAACAGCTGCTCAAAACTCCACATCATATCGTTACATCTCGTCCATATATGAATACTTTATCGTACTTCGTGCACATGGAAATCACAGGTTTCACAGAAGAAAACATCAATAACTATATCGAGTTGTTCTTCAGCCAGTTAGGAAACGCATCACACCAAGGTGACAGCTTACTAAACTTTCTGAGATCGAAACCCAGGATTTGCGGCATCGCACATATTCCCATCAATCTCGAAATCATTTGTAGCACTTGGAGCAATATTGATTGGACACAAACAAAAACAGTAACGATTACAGTACTATATGATAGATTGACCGAATGGATCTGCCGTCGATACCTCGAGAAACAAAAAAAGATGTCACCAATCAAAACTACTCGAATGGATAAAACAGATGTTTATGACAAATGTCGCAAGGAGTTAGCGTTCTTGGAGAAACTCGCCTTCCTAGGAATGGAAAACAATGTCATTCTTCTAGGTCCACAATTACTAAAAGAGGCCCAAAAAGAGAGCGGATGCAAGTTAAAAGACTGTCCGGACTTATTCAATGTTGGGTTACTAAAATCATACGACTCAATTTCAGCTGGCATCGGAACACGAATCGAGGCAGATAAGCACTATTACTTCGTTCATCTCAGTTTTCAAGAACACTTTGCTGCACGTTACTTAGCCAATGCTCTTTCGAGTACTACAAGCGACCAAGCAATGGAATTCATTCGCGAACACAAATATAATCAACGATATCAATTACTCTTTACGTTTTTATCCGGTTTATTAAACGAGGACCAAGAAACCAAATGCAATCGAGCATTTTGGGAGGCTGTACTCAATGCACCTTTGGATATCATCGGCGCGCGACACGTGGCGCTTGTAATTCAATGTCTAGATGAAACAGCGCTACCTCAAACATTCATTGAGTCACAACAATTAATCGAAAAGATCACACTCTGGCTCGAATGCGCTTTAAGTAGCGAATCGAACCATTTATGCAAACTTTTCCAGCAGACACTACGTACATGTAACGCAATTTGCAATGAACCACGAGTACAACACACAATAGTCCACCTATTAAACAATCAACTATTCACCAACCGAAACATGGTATTGTCATTTATATCAAATATTCCACTTACCAACCCCATCAAGCCGCTACTACTAGCACTACGCGAGGCGCTAAGCAGGGACGATGATTCCGTGAGACGTTGGGCATGCGACGCACTTGTTGGTATGGGTGAAAAGGCAGCGACCAAGGAAGTGATCAATGGACTTGCCGAGGCACTCAGGAGCGGTGATGATTCGCTGAGACGAAAAGCATGTGACGCACTTGTTGGTATGGGTGAAAAAGGAGGGACCAAGGAAGTGATCAATGGACTTGTCGAGGCACTCGCGAGCGACGATGATGCCGTGAGAAAAAGAGCATGTGCCGCACTTGGTCGTATGGGTGAAAAAGGAAGCGCCAAGGAAGTGATAGATGGACTTGTCGAGGCATTCACGAGCGACAATGATTCCGTGAGAAGAAGAGCATGTGACGCACTTGGTCGGATGGGCGAAGTGGCGGCCACGAGGGAAGGGAGCGGTGGACTTGTCGGGGGA